ACGCATGCCTCCAAGTTCTCCAGGCTGCCGCAGCCCCTCTCTATGCAGTCCATTCAACTGAAAAACAATTCGAGCTGTGATGATTCCGGCAGTGCGAAGTTTTCGAGTGATCACGACATTGTACGACAATATGGGGCGAGCTACGTACTCTGATGGAGAAGCCGCAGAACCCCATTCAGAGGAGGGGGTGTTTATACTTCGGGGATCTGGGGCACGTGAGGAGGGAACACGAAGCGGAGGGATCAGCGGTGAGATACTGCCGTGTGTTCACATGATAGACAAGGAGAGGTTGTGGCCGCCTTACCACCACCGGAATATTATATTATTACATCCTTATTATTCAACGAAGCAAGTACTTACAAGCCAACCCAGTCCACATTAAGGGGGCCAAGTTGCTCTGACTATCTGTCGCGGCCCCATGCCTCTTTTCCTAAACTTGACTTGACTTGACTTGACTTGACTGATACGAGTACGATACAATTTTAGAACCTCATCCGCTAAGTCCGAAAAGCACACCCACATGTACAGTACAGTACAACTGGGTATATTATCATCACTGTTCTCCGAGCTGGTGCCTGAAAGAGAGGAGACAACATGCTAGCGGATCATTCGGAAAGGCTGGTCTAGGCGTTGCACGCATATCGGTTCCATCCTTTCGTCGAAGATTCGATTTCTGGAAGGTGTTTCTGTGAGATCCATCGAAAGGGGGGAGGGGGAATGCTCGGGAGCGGCGGATGCCTTTCATGAAGACACGATATGTATCCACTGTTCACATGAAAGGCATACACCACCGTTCGTGGAGAGGACCCCTCTCTTCTTATCCCCTTTCATTTAAATAGCGTTCGTTCCGTCCTACTACTCCTTCCTCAGCGTTGTGTCCATGAGTCAAGGACTGGAAGAAGACTCAACTCCTCAGCAGCACTACCAATCTACCATACCCGGGAATCAGGTCCGGAGGGGGGAAGGGGGGGGGGGGGGAAAGGGAGAAGAGGGGCGCTTCTAACCGACCGGGAAAACTTTGGAACGCCGTAATTAGGATTCTTTGGTCCCATCAATTGCTCATCGGGACTAGAAACAGGAAAGCCTAAGGGAATATACCCACCCCGAACGGATACTTTATTCCCTCCAAGCTGCGGTCTGGGCGGAGCCCTCGCTAGAAACAAACCCAGCCCAGCCCACTTCTCCCCCCGAATCAGGCTCGCTGGGCCGCGATCCACCCCCTCGTCTACGGTGGATTTGTGCTCGGCAGAAATTCTAGGTCCGACGGGCCTTGTTCTTTTTTACTCATCATACGCTCTCGATGATCAGGCGGTTTCAGGTGCAAACTCAAGTTGATCAGCTTCCGCAATGGGCTGTCAAGTACTGTAAGAACTCGTAAGTACGGAGCAGGTCTAAAGGAGAAACTCGGCAAAAAGCGCGGGGAGGGCTCGATCTTCGGGTTCGGCACGAGGTTCCATTGCCGTGTATCTTCATTTCAGGGTCTAGGTTTTGTTTGGGCTTCAGGAGTAGGCCCGTGATAGAGTTAATAAGGCGAAAGGTATGACTTACTTCAGACAGTTCGATCGCGCATAGCATCGGGTCATCATACGGTGTATCTCTGGAAGTAATCTATCTAGGACAATTGATTGACCGTAAACCCCACCACTAACTGTACCCTGACAGGCTCAATTCGGATCCGCCATGGATGACCAACATCGTGTCGATATTATGAGCTGGAAGATCGGCATATCGGCAGATTGGCATATACAGTTACCACCATGTACTGTACAATACTCTGCAAAAGGGAGAAAGGGAGAGAGAGAGGGTCACATCAGGTTGACCACGCGGGAGAAGGGGGCGAAGGAAGGGAGGGGTTGAGGGGGCCGGGCAGAATGCCAAGTTGCCAACCTTACTGGTGTTAAGCATATTCTTTCGGTCTTTCTCCGGCGTCAGATGGAAAACTGGGAACGAAAGGCAACACCCAACAGACTCAGAGAGAGCCAAGGACCGTTCAATTCTATCCCGTCCATAATACGCAACCTAAAGCCTTGGCCTGGAATTATTTCTCAATCTGGAGAGCAACGTTGTTGGCAAACTTGAACAGCAGACGGAAGGCAAAAGGTACTGCCAGATACCGAGAACTCCGTAGTATGGATTGTATGTCTCAAACTATGATCGGACTGGGGACTCACTGGGCAATGATTTTTTGTTACCATTTTGGGCGACAACTGCCTAGAACGGAGACCCGTGGATCGCCTCTTCGTATCGGCTGGATTTGCTCGGCAACCTGATGAGGACACCTGTACAGTACGCCGCCGGCGCTGTCGGCATTGGGGGTTCAGTTTTGAATGTGTGATTTGGTGATTTTTCCCCTCCCAGCTGGTATTTACCAATCTCCAATTTTACCTAATTGATTTCGCTTCTCAGCCTCTGGGTTTGCTTTCCCTTCGTTGCTCTCTATTAGTTATTCTCTTTTCTGTTCTCACCCGCGATACGGAACTGTCGGCTCGGCACCGCTCTTTCCCAGCTATCCACATCCGAACCTGGAACTCTCTGCTCGGTGCTCGCTTAGAGACAGAGACAATTTGATGGGCGGGGGAGGTGGAGGGGGTGGAAAGTTTCAGATTAATGGTCGATCAAGTTGCCACTTCGATTTATTGAGAAGTCAGAATAGGTAGGTAGTCTAACGGTTGTCCAAACCCAGATCCCTGTAGCTTCTTTCTCAAACCACATTGTACTCATATGTGTGTGTGTGTGTGTGTGTGTGTGTGTAATGATGTCGAGTACGATGTATGGACAATAGAGCATGTGACAGCAGTGCAACGCAAATATTCTCTGTATACTCAGAAGGATATTGGACGCAAGGCAACCAGGGTCACTTACTAATTTACTAAGGATTGGCTAAGCCTTGGCCTATCTTACTATCGCTTTAGTGAGATACGTAGCTGGCTGAGTTTATCCATAAGCAGCTAACCAACAGAGACCCAGTCGGAAAACTATTGAAAAACATCCATCTCTAATAGCCAGCGGGGATGGGATGGCTTGGCTTCTGCAGACGCTTTGACACTTGGGGCTTGAGTTTGACCAAGGATAAGGATCATCGGTTATGGAATCTGAATGTCGTATTATGCCTACGGAGGAAGTACTGTTTATAGATAGGAGTAAGAACAGCAATCTACTTCATTGTTTAGTCCATCAACCGTTCCCTCCCAGGGGGAGATTACACAGAGACACCATGTTCGTGATTATACCCAATCCAAGTAGTCGGAACGAGGACTAAGCAGGGACAGGGAACAGGAGACAAATAAATAGAGCCTACGGATGCGGAGTATGTCACTAACCTAGGCAATAGTCGAGAGACTAGGTCTGCACCGGTGGATGTCCAGAGCGACGGCTTCGGAGTGTTATTGAAGTAAGCTATAAATATGTGGTTTCATTTGACAGCAAGCTTTGATTACGATTATTACTCCGTACTTGGTCAGTATTACTGAGTACATGAGTAGCTCTGGCTGGCAAAAAGAGTTAGAACCAAAAGCTTTTTGACTTAGTCTTTTTCCCTAGTGCTTGTTTGACTTTTGACTCTCGGAGCGTCACCCCTCGCTGCTCCGTACCTTAACCTAATCCAAACACGCTATACGGAGTATGGCATACAATTCGATCATTAACATGCATCACAAAGAAGAGGGAAGGTGCAACAGCAGATCCCAGTCCGCAATATCTATCTCGGGTAGTTGATCTGCGAGTACAACGATCAGAAAGCCACAGGTGGGTGTTGGTTTGACCACTATGACAGGAAAGAAGATCTTTCCACTTGGATCTGCAGTTGCCCTACGTATACTGAAGAAACACAAGCCTGCATGTCCGGTGGTTGCGCCCCCCACCACCACCTTCAATCTCATTGTATTGTACTCGATACAGTACTGCATAAGACGGCAAGAAGCCCTGCAAGCAAGACTACCTAGAATCAGAAGGCAAATGGCCAAAAACAGAACTGACCCAATCGCCTGCATATCGGACAACTCCAATGAGGAAAAGAAAACTAGAAGATGGCAATTCGGCAAAGCATTGGTCGGACTTTTTCTTTTCAAATGATTTCCTTTAGAATCTAGCTTAAATCGATTATGCTAGTGGAGATAAGCCCCGTGTAACGTCTCACAGAGTGGCGCCCCTTGGGCAATTGGAACATCTTTCGAATCAAGGGTTGCATTGGGGCATGACCATACCAGTTGACATCAGATGTCGCAACCCAGATAGATCTTGATGTGAGAGGATTCCAGGAGTAACCTCTTCCCTTTCCCTCGTGTGACTCGAACATGCAAGGGATCTCTGTTTCCAGGGGAATTCTCCCAAAGGACCATTGAAGCAGTGGACCGGTCTTTATGTCCGATGACATCTAAGATGCTTCTTCTGCGGCTTCTGCTTCTGCTGTTTATCGCATTTGCTCCATTTATCCACCCCCATCCCCTCTACGCTAAGCTTACGGAAAGCGGCAGAGACACATTGGCACTCAATTATACGGGACAACCAGTCATACAATAGTGGCTGACAATCTAAATTGCGATGGGAATGTGATAGCGTTCGGTCTGACCACCTCAGGACAATTTAGAGTATCTGTAGCCATGATCACAATTCACTGACAAGGATCGATCGTTTTCTAATGATTGTTCGGCTTTCGGACTTAATGAAGAGGGGGGGAGGGGGGGGAAGGGGCTCTCAATCGACTTGGATTGGCTGTTGATGCTGATCGTAACTGACTGACCCTGATGCTATGGTACCTTACTCTGGCGGTAACAAGGTTCTTCTACAATTTACACTCAGTTAGCTGCATTCTTCGGTAGGAAACTAAAGCTTGATCGCGGCTGTTAGCTTGCCCTATGAAATGAACCATAGAGAGTGTGGTGCTTATTTATCTGGCGGTCCTTCTCGGTCACTCTAGACTATACTACCTAGACTGGTTACTGCCTACTAGTTAGCTACTCTTTTACTATGTAGGTAGCAATGCGTAGTATTCTACCTAGCGTCGCGAGTGCTACCGCATACAGGTGAGCCTGGTTTTCGAAGAATCGAGCCAAGGTCTCATATCATTCACTCCTATAACCGGTTATGCTTCATATATTTTTTTTGTATCAAGGAATCAGGGAATACTTGGTAATCCTGCTGAAAGACCATGTAGTGTATATACGAGCGGCGGTGGATCGATCTGGTAGTACTTTGCATCACCTTACATGGTCCGGATTTCCTGGTCGCAACACTTACGTTGACCAGTAGGTACACAGCGAGATGGAGCATCAACGCTGCGGGTGATGTGTAAGTGCTATCCATGTTGGTCCGCCGCCATACCCGCCAGTGTCGTAGGGAGAACGTCCAGACTGCAATCGAGTCAGCAGAGTGACACTAGGAGTTTGTGCATACGGACCCCAAAGTGCATTACATCGGTTTAGTCCTACAAACTATTGCATTGCAGGGTACATCGGACTGTAACACTAACCACAGCTTGCGGGGACCGAGGGTGATTAGTGGTTTGATTATAAGGGCTCTTTGGGAATAACCGGTTTGTACTGGACTCCATACTAGATTGTTCGCAGTCTCCTGCAATCATATATCGTATGCCCCGGTCGAGCTGAGACATTTACACATGTAGAGGATAAGCGGGACTACTAATAATACGAAAAGGATGCTACCTCAAAAGTCTCGGATATCAAGTAAGAAAAAAAAAAACAAGCACTTGATCGGGTGACACCATTCTAGCTCTTTTGGAACGGGGAGTAATCATGATGGTTTAATCTAAGTTAATCTATTCCGGATCATTTTTCGAGCCCTTTTGTCTTTCTTTGCTTCTTTTGTTGCTGCTATACGGGATTTGATTTCGCCATATCACTTAGTGAACTCAAGGTATTCTGCGGCCCCCTGTTATCCACGAACTGGAGCTTTGGGGGTGGATTGGGGCAAGGGACAGGAAAAAGGAAGGCCTCGCTGGTCCCGTCGTGATTTGGTTCTGCTCATTTTGCCATGTGAGACATCAGCTGCACAGGGCCAGCCCTGTAAATACTAGTCCGCAGTTTAGTATCAGGACACTCCTGATTTAACACCTTCCCCCCCCTCCCCAAGAGCCCACCCTATCGCTTGGCCCGAATAACTTACGAAATCCTGAAGTGGGCCGGGCCAAGAAGAGCCAAGGAAACCGGGCCAGGATGCGACCGACTTTGTTGGCGATACGCTTATCCTGAGTACGACCGTACTAACTTAGACTGTGCTCCGGTTCGGCTGCACTACTCCAAGTAGTCTAAGTGAAAGAGGCATACTTGGCTTCTCAGTATAGTACGTACCCTCAAGGATGGGGCTGTGTGAAGGTCGTACATCCGAGGGGGAGTTTTTCCTTTTCTTGCGAACAAGAACTAAAGGACTGACTCTCAAAAAAATAATACTTCCAGACAAATGACAGTACTCAAACTGTCATCTGGGAATGTTCAGGCTCAATATATTCCCGGTTATTGAAAGAAACACGATGAATTTGGCAGCCTAGGGGTTGAGAAGAACGGGGGGGGGTTGATTGTCTATGCGTTCGGCGCGCACTGACAACGTCAAAATAGACCTATTCATTCTTGTAACTGGACTATTGGTTCCTAATAGTCTTTTGTCTCATCACCTGCGACATGACTGATTTCCTTTTTCTGATAGGCCGAGGCAACAAACCACTTCCTCCCCGAAAATGAAGACTACCTGGTAGTAGACCTGACCGAGATGGCTGTGCAAGTTCCTTAAGAAGCACGGTGAACACTAATCATGTACTGTACCAGGTAAGCCTAGTTTAGGCTCAGTCGGGAAATTGGGAGGGAAAAGAATAAAGGAAAATAAGATTAAATCTTTTTTTTTATAAAAAAAGGTTGTCATGTGTTAGCGAATCCTTTTTGGAACTAAAGTAAAGGAAAAGAGTAAGCCCAAGCGACTGCGGACGGCCAAAGCTCGACCTTGCGCCCGCAACTTTATCACCGAAGTGGCCATGTCTACTGGATAATAAGTTCCGGGGGAGGTTCCAAAGGAAAAAGAGCCTAACTGGCGCGTCTGGTGGAATTTCCCGAGGCGAAAATTACATATAGGAAAAGAAGAAAGGAAAAGAGGTACAGTACTCACTAACTCATGTAAGAAAAGTCGGGGAGTAAGTCGCGGCACCCGCAAAGCAAAAAAGTTTACTTACTCCTCCCCCACTGATAGGACAGTGGCAAGAGGTCGCCTACAGTCTGATAAGTCGCCCAGCAAAGAGAGTCGATCAGGTATTACGTGGCCGATCGCTGTGCATATGACTGATCCTAGAGTAGGTTAAACTGTCGTTTACGTGAGAGTTAAACTTTGCCATCCGAAGTCTAATAGTACCTGCTTGCTATCTGACCATGGTCAGCTATCATTAAGATCCACTATCTTACTGATCAGACAGTTGTGTCAGGCGAACCACCGTTCTGGATAAGATTTGTCAAGCTTTTCATGGGTTCGGGGTTTCTGCTCATGTGTCTGGTAAATTCTGGTTGCCAAACGGCGGATAAATCTGCAGCAGAGGGTGAGAACCGTACAGTAGCCCCCGTACGGAGTTGGTAGAGTGTGAGTTACCAGACCTGTCAGTTCTAGCCGAACCACCGACCCCTGTTTGCTTGCTTGCTAGCTACTAGGATGGGGATGGTTTCAGTGAGAGCCTCGAACAATTTGGGGGCAAAAACTGGCGACACGATGGAGCTTAGAGTCCGGGAGCTCCGTGATGGCGGGTTTGCTAAATCCGATCATCATCGCAAATCGCTTAGTTGTCAGTGAATCCACGCTTTTTGTCTGGCGCAAAACCCCCCGGCTATCTGGTACTCCGATGCGGAAATCTTCTGCTCCCTTGTTATTGAAGGGCTCGTTTAATCGAGGCAGGCCGTGAATAATGATTGATTCAGATCTGGAGATCAGATGGCCAGCAATACGAGCACCAACCGCCACAGTGGCTGTCGCTTGGGTTGCCGATAGCCGGTAATCCGAGGGAAAATGGAACAATTTTCTCTTCTCTGAGTCAAGACGACTCAGTCAGACATGGATCATATACACCGGCTAGCCCGGCGGGCTAACCCCAAGGGAAAAATGTCGTCAGCTTTGACCAGAAATGGTCACTTTTCTTTCGGGCGGAACCGCTGCGTAACCCGGGGATGATCTAACCCTAAATCATTGGGAAGCACTCTATGTAAGCCCGTTTTGCTTGAGGATTGGAGGAATGAGCTAGTTATTAGTACGTACTCATATTATTCTCTTTTCCTTTCGTTCGTTCGATGATTTGAGTAGGATGAATATCGATCCGTCACAAATCACAGTACCGATAGTCCATGCCGGCCTTCCTTCTAGACCGCGGGTAAAAGATTCGATGAGCAGTGGAGAGCTGGAAGCCAACTACCCAGCTACGTATATCACAATGCATGCAATGAAACCCAGAACCAGGAAAAGTAAGATCCGGATGACACGGATACATAATCCAGGGTTATACGGAGGTACATACATTAGTAAGTTCATAACACGACTCAAGACCTCGACAGGAACTGAAAAGTCGGCCATGGAACAAGTGGATTCCCAGCCACAGTGGAGGCCATGAAGGGGGGGGGACGGAGGAGGGGGAGGGGGAAAGGAATAGGGAAAGGGAAAGTGGGAACCTTGAACCTGGTAGGCAAGACCTTGTCCGTCCCGAGGTCTGCTTTTGATTTTTCTCTAAGCGAGCTTAAGGTTCCTCGTGTTGGATTAAGCTTAAGCTTCAGAAAGTCGCGCACTAATCAGTTTCCGGTTGGATTCAAGCGATCAGAGCGCCACTGGTATCTTACTAGTGTATTACCATACTTTGCGCATGGTTTTGGGTTTTTTTTGCTCGGATTACTGAGAATATTCTCAATTTTTCTGAATCATGAGTTTTGACGGCCAAGACAATTCTGTCTCCCCCCCGACAGACTACTAGCCGAGATTTGGTTCCGTTGTCTCTCATCCAGGTAACATAGCTGCCATAGCAAAACTTCATCAGGATGGTAGGGCAGCAGACCTATGAGCAAGGAGAATAGTGCCAGGTGCTATGGTATCATCATCCTTGGATGCTATCCGATATCAACCTGGTAAGGAATGGACATCCGGTATGTGGGAATCCTACAGCCCTGTAGGCAGGAGTTTGTACTACCCATCACATATGCAACCGGTTACTCTGGGTGTCGGTCGTGGTATACAATACATGCAGTCCAAATGCTGACGACGACGACGATGATGATATTACTTGTGTAAGTAACTTACCTCTTGCAAGTAGATTGCCTGTCTGGGTTTAGACTCCACCCGTGAATGAGCCTCCTCTTGTTAGGTTCACTGTTTGACTGCTAGTTATAGGATTACCTGTAGTGTGTGGAAGTATAACGGTACACACTTATACTTATATCCGAGAGAGTTTTGGTGCGACTCAGGAGAGGTCAAATTACCTGGAGCTTAGCTGACCCGACAGTCATGCTCCTAGGCATAGCGCAATGATAAATTCAAGCGAACGAACTCTCCCACCAGCCTCGCTCTCCAGTACCATGGATGAACATTAGCTGAAAAAGAAAAGGTTAAAAACAAGGTTCGCTTTGTTTGTGATAAATCCAGCAACTAAGTAATATTAGATGAAATCATTTGCTGCGGCCTCCTCTTAATCTGTACCCACTTTTCTTGGTCGTTGAATCTGGCTGGCTGATCTTTCGCATGGCGCCTAGAAAGAAGAGGTCCAAGCCAACATCCTCTGACCCTGGCTGGGGCTGAAATCACGAATGGATAAGGATTACACTAGTCCATCATTCCGAGAGGCCATGAGGCAAAAATAGAGAGGCGGACGCAGTCAAAGAAGAAGTAAAGACGAGTGATCCAGAGGGCTGCCGCTGTTACCCATGTAAAACAATAACTACATGAGGGTTTATTCAACACTGAATTAACTTATACATACTTCAGTACATGTACTAGATTACTAATGTGTATTTCGCTATAGCCGACGCTCATGCGAACACGCAATTAAATCCGACCCAGATTTTTGAATAATAATATTCCATCTCATTCAATAAACCAAAACACAACTGCTTAACCCTGTGGGGTTCAAAGTTAGGTTGGTTCCCCACCCTATCTTTGATGCTAATTCTTCACTTGATTATTTTTATTTTATTTTCCATTTCTTTTTCCCTCGGATTTTATTTCATTTTAGTTGAACTTGATTACGATCGGATTATATTAATCATTTTTCCAGTATTTCTCTGCCTATTCCTTTCTTCTCTCCTACCACCATCTACCCTTCCTACAACCAACCCACCATTTCTTTCACCATACCATCTCCGATTCTACCTGTGACTGCAGCAGCAACGCTCAAACCCGCAGTCATTCCCACTGTAAGTAATTGAACTGGTGGACCCGTTCGTTGCATTATGTAGCCTCCTTGTCTCAGCATCCTTTGTATAACTTTACGCGTGATTCGGTCCGCTCGACTGCATTCCTTCTTTATTCTCCTATCAGTTGTGCCCATCCCCACTCCCTACTTTCTCTCCCTTCCTTGCTGCCTTGGTTCCATCTACATTCCATCCCCCTCTACACTATCCCCCCAACCATCTCATACCCTCTCTAATATACATAGATAGCAAATTAACCTCGTTTCTGCTCACCACTAGATCCTCGTTCACTCTCGGTGGATGCTGTGGCAAGACCAAAGTCGTTACGCCCGGCCTGCATCAGTTTCCTAATCGGGAAATCAAATATCTGCTGCTCAGCTACCGTGATTGATTCTCACCCACACAGGGAAGCACTACGCAGAAACCAACGCTCCTCTGCCGTCAGAGGAATCAGAATTATTTAGCTCCGTCTTCAGCTCAGCTTTCACTATTCTGTACCATACGAATCACCCAGCCCTGGCGCTCAAACCAACCGTCATCACGGGGACCTACACAGATCACCGAAGGTGGATGGAGACGTATCACGGCCACGTCCGCACCCCAGCGGACGCCATCATCCTCTTCGAAGCTTGTCGCATTGGCCTTCTCCCCCGAGTACAAAGACGACTGTCCGAAAAAGAACGTCAGTTAATCCGCTCCGGGTCAGTTTTTGTCTGGGATGAAAGGGAGGCGGGTATGCGAAGATGGACCGATGGGAAATCTTGGAGCGCGAGCCGGGTCTCTGGCAGCTTCCTGACTTATCGCGAAATGGAGGGCAAGCGAGGAGGAACAGGCGTGGCCCAAACGACGATGTCAAGAGGGGGCAAGACTCCAGATAGTGCGCGAGGCAGCGACGACGATCGGGCGGACGGCGTTGACGAAGGACCCGATGGTTACCGATATAAGCCCGACGGATTGATGAAACAGTCGTTCAGCATCACCACCTCGACCGGACAGCATCTCCATCTCATCAGCTATTACTCGAGATCGCACCCGTCTGCTGCCAATCTCCAGCAGCCTTCAACAGATCCGGCTTTGCGACATGTTCGACCTCAGAAGGGACTCTACCCAGAATCTACGGTCAACGATCAGCAGAATCTTCCTGTCGTGACTCGCGGCCCCATGGCCGGTGCAGCCTACGTGCCTCCTCATCCGATGGGACCGTATGCTCGCGCCGCTGCTACGCATGCTCCCCCATACACGACGTCGTATACGTGGCCGCCAACACCCTTGGCCACCCCGCCTGTTCCGGTTCATCATTATCCCTCATATCTACCTCCAGTCCCGGCCGGTACTCATGTCGCATACTCTCATCATCATCATCATCCTGCGTCCCTACCTCCTGGTACTCCTCTACCGCCACCTCCGCAGCCTCCTGGTTTGCAAACGCCTCACGAGCGACCGATTCATGCGGTTGAGGTTGCGATGCCTCCGGCCTTGCCCCCATCGTCTGTACAGATGCTTGCAAGTCGATCGCCACGCACGCCAGTCGAAGCGCACGAGATGCTGCGTAGAAGCCCGTCAGAGCTCGCACACCACGCAGATATTCGACGGGCATCTCCGCGCACGCAACCACATCCTCTATCGCACAGCAACGGCCTTGGCCCAGCTGTGCGGAGCCCCCGGCTTTTGAACCAGCCTCCATCCAACGCCATTCATATCCCTCCCCCGAGTGCGGTGGCCTCCAAGCCTCTCGAGCCTAGTAGCTCCGGCATTGCTGTGCCCAGCATTGGCGCGCTAATGAACGGCGCACCGTCTGGCGGATTACCCTCAATCACCGCTCCTCCAGTTCCGGCAACTGGACGGGCGGAGGGGCCCAAGGATATCCCTAGCGAAAAAATCGGATTTGGTGGAGAAGATATGCGGGCTCTCCGACAACTTGACCGAGTTTTCACAGCTTGAGCAGCCAATGGTTGAGATACATCTCTCACGATCATTTATGATCTTCTCCAGCTGTTGTCATCTCGTTGTGTTGTCGCCAGCATCAATTTCCTCACGCTTGCCTTATATCCCTTGTTTCTTGTACATGATTTAGCATTTTGCGCCCGGTTGAGCTATTCAGATTGAAATGGTCATGCCCCCAGCCCCACGACATTGTTTCTTTTTTCTCATTCGACCTGGTTTATGGTTTTGTTTTCGGTCTCATCTGCACAGAATCGGCGTTGTACAAAGAGGTGCATTACCATACAGCATGGGCGGGATTTTTTACATGTCACGGGTGACTTCTTTTCAATCCTGCGTTGAGGTCGAGAATTGCGATGGGATCGGTCAGTCCGGTGACTAGTCACGATGATAACGTTGAATCTAAGAATCATCTCAAATTCACCTTGCAAACTCCTGTACATGAACACCCACGGTTTCTGTAGTCATTGTAGCCATTGTAGCATTGCCGACATTGTCTACGAGGTCAACCCCACTTGCTATCGATTCCAGCATTTCGCACAATCTGCTGTCTCACCTGGCACAGCAGACAACTATAGTATAGCCCAGGCTCATCTGCACGCCGACTGGGTCCATGCACAACCAGCTTCCAGGATTTGCGCATGGCCTTGTTCAAAACACAAGCTAATCGAAACCCATCTTGCAAGATCGAGTGACCTCACTTTTCTTTTCGGCGGTAACCCCGGCCTTTTCGTTGCATGTGGAGACAAGTGCCAGCCAACTTATGCCCACCTTGCCAGATTTCTGCCCATCAGAATGTATCAGAATTGAGATTATATGTTTTGAGATGACCCTTATCAATTTGCGCCGGTGGAGCTAGATAGGACGGATACTTGATTCCCTAGAGATATACATAGACTACTAGGTACCTTTTTACTTGAGCTAGGTGGCGGGTACATGACTGGATCCCCCTATCCAGTCCTCCTCATTTACAAGCGGTGAAACAAATCCGCCTACGGTAGTCCTTCTCTCACTTCTTAATCATTCCACGACAGATTCGTCTCCGCAGATGGAGAATCTGCAACATCACGTCCCGTTCTTCTCCCTACTCTAGTAGTCCCTGAAGATCGTTGAAACGCCCAGCGCCGACCCACTCGAGCCAACGGCCGCGGAAGGGTTAATATGCGAAGCAGGGACCCGCAATCAATTTGGTGGTGGGAGTGTTGTTGGGCTATAAGTATCTGGCCGCAGACCATGGCGTTGAATGGGTTCGCTGGAATCGATATCTAACCATGTACGCCAGGTAGGTCTCGCAGGGAAAACTGTCTCATGGGTCCAGGGCAGGTTTAGGGTTGACTGCCGAAGTCACTCCATTAACCATCCCTAGGTGGTCATCCGCGGACGGTAACGCTCGGTTGATCTGGGTCGCTGCAGACGAGGCGATGATATATGCTGGGCTAGCTGGTCAAGGCGCACTGGAGCAGGTTGCGGGTTGTAGACTGTGAGCTTTCTCCGCGCGTTCTCGGGTTTCGCTTATGCGTTGAATGTCCAAGCCAAGGTACATGATCTGGAGAAGGGGTAGGGGCTGAGATGGCCATGCTCTTTGGTCTGGTGCTATCACATTTGGGCCGGAAGTCCACTCTCGGGGGAGTCATGCTGTCTCTGCCCGCTATCCGCTTGGGAGAGGCGATGCATGCGCCAGTCATTCCAGAAGGGGCGGTTATATGACCGGCATACACAGCGCTGATTTTGGAGCAGAGCGTCAACGGCCGAAAAGGCGCGGAAATCTGGGCAAGTGACTCGACATTTGCGGATCAGTTACAGTACCACACCTCCCGCACGGTCCGCGTGAGAGGCTTGGGTTCAAAGCTTGTGGGCGTGTGATCGGGAGCTGCAACATATAGACAACTAGACGCTATCTCTTCTGATTAAGGACATGTTACAGCTGGCATCGGACTGCGGCAATCACTCAATTGACTTCACATAATGGTTGTCACCGAACTGTGGTAGAATCACCACCCCCTTGAATTGCGGTTGTGGAGCCGGCAGAAATCAGTTCTTTACCATATCTATGTCCAATGATCAGTCACACACAGTGGAAGTCAATCACCGTGTTACTGGGTGATTTATCCGTGCTGGACAATTCTCTTGTGCGGTCAGCCAACAACTATGCCATTTGTGGGCCAGTGCTCATACAATATTTGATTTATGTAGGCACTACGCCGGACATTGTGTGGTTGCGTTGGTCTGTCTATATACTTAGCAGTAGAAGCGCCCCTGGGATTGAAAGCTGCTTAGGTGTCTCAAATGGGTAAGGTTTCCACAAGTATGTACACTGGTCGACATTATCTACTCATTCTATCAAATGTACTGACTACTCTATAGATCATGGTTGCTCCCCTTTCTTTGCCGAACTCGTCCAATCTACCTGTTAGCTACCAGCTCAGAATCATTTCTGTCTCTGACAGCGGCTTTGAGGCTCGGCATAACAGATACCAGCGAGCCCGTTATTCTGCTCTTCACTTTGAAAGATCGTGATCGGGACTGACCTTCAGTGCCTCCAGGTTTTTATCCACCAGATTTACCAATGACAAATGTTGTAGGCGCAACAGGGCGATATTGCGGCTCTCCTCCTCACTTAATGAGCCAGGGTCACGACGCGCCACAAGGTCTTCGAAAGATGCTGCAAACTCGCTCAATTGAGCTAGCATGATGGCCTGCTGTGCTTTAACTCGCTGCATCACGGCCTGCTCACTTGTGTTATCGTGGAAAAGAGCTTCGCAGGACCCTCGGAAGTGAGACACCTTGCTCATGATGATGTTGATTCGTTGTCTAGCTTCTAAGAGGCTTTCAAATGCGTTGCTGCCAGGGCTCTTGTAACTAGTCAGGGACGTATCCTGATCTGTCGGTTGCTCAAGTGTCAGGGGATCTGGTTGTTCGTATTGTGCTATTTGAACATCGAGCACCATGAAGGCTTGGACCAAGGCAGCCTCGGTCGCTGATCCATAGCGGAGCTGTGCGGTGGGGTGTGAATCTTGTCTCGGATGATGTCTCCAGTACCCATCACGCTGCTCTACAAGTTGTACTCCCCTCCGCAAATGCACGCTTGCGCTCTTGTAGCTGCCATGGAGCAGCTCGACGCAGATGAAGGTGATACAGCATATCAAGGCTACCATCCGGACGTGAGGATCATTTGACGCCAAGCGTCGCCGGAGCATGACCATCGCTTTGCCATATTGCGTGAATGCAAAGAGATGATGCGAATCATGCATACCATGCTGGCCAGCGCGGCAAAGGCCGCGCATCTCAACATCCTCGTGAAGCGCACTGAGAGCCACGGCGGCGTGGTAGGCGGCCGGCTCCGCAAGGCTGATCTGCAGGACTATCCGCTGCCATACTTCCACATTGAACCAGTCGGCCATCCTTGGCGCCGTTTGATGGAAGAAAATGCTAAAGCATCGTTGTTCGTCGGTGTTGGTATCCGGTCGGGCAATGGGGGCGATCTGTACTACGGATTGTGGCCAGATGGCCCTTGCAATTGCTCCGGAGCTGCGTGGCAGCCGGCTAGCATCGTATTCGCAGTGGCGTCCGGTGGAGGTGCATTGATTGCATGCGCCCGATGTCTCATCACATTTGACATGTCTGGCTCTACAGATCGTAATCGCTGTGGATTAGTGAAAGCGAGCGCGGGGGGGGGGCACATTTGGTTTCAGTTTTGAGGGGTGGTTACAGACCGACAAGTTCGGCATCCGTTTCGGGACCTGTGACGAAATTGTCTCTGTCTCTGTCCTTTTTGCTCTGCCATTGAGGAAGCCATTGTGAAGCCGGCTTTCGGGGGAATGGAACGAACGAAAGCTGAGATGGCGCATTTGATCACTAACTTAGTAGTGCCTGATTGGCAAGCGGGCGCCAGCGTGCTGTGGGGGGAGGGAAGGGGCGCGGGCCGCCTCCAAGTGGGCGCCGCCGCCACCACCTTGATCTGTCAACCTCACCTGAGAAACAAGAGGTAATGTTTCCCACTTTCTCAATGAATACCTCAATTCTATCCACTAAACAGAGAACATCCATAGAGATTGTGTCGGTGCGAGAGAGTATGAGCCGGTGATTCCCGACCCTCAGTCCATTGCAGGCAACGACTGCCTACCACAACCTTGATGGCCATTGCGTGCTATGGAGTACTACACAGTCAAAGAAAATCGCTTACTGAAACAAATGCTCTGCCCGTGACCAACAATGGCAGCCAAGTCCAGAATCTCATCATTCTTTCAGCTTGAGGCCCTTTGTCGGTCGCTCGCCTCCGCGCATCTCCACCATCATTGGCTTCAATCTCCGGCCGCCCAGGTATGGAGGTAACACATGCGCGGGATCAATCGACTGGCAGGTGCAAATTTTAGGCGTGACCTCGCGGTGGCTCATCAAGTCAACTAGTGGCTCTGTCTTAGCTGACAAATGACGCCACTCATGATTGTACGACAGTATGTAGGAGCGACATCTTCAACTTTTGATTGTGGGCTACCATTGGCAACGATGCTGAGATCCTCAAGAGATAGCGGTTCTAATGCCTTGACTTTGTGCTAGATGTCTCTACAACACGTGATACCTTGCAAGAATCCGTGACTGATAGCCTTCTTCTATTTGCTAGAGAATTAGTTGGTATACGCCGGCCATTCTCAGCATGGCGGACTGCTGGTCTCTCTGATACCTTTCTACTCGCCAAATGTCTTTGGTGTCGACAGGCGGCAGGCTTTGCAAGGATTGACACCTATGATATAGTGACCAAGCTGTATCTTTGATGCCTAGACAAGATGCGCCATTCTATGGATCCTCCTCTTGTCCAAAGGCTTTCCTTGAAACTCTCACTGATATAGGGCCATTCGACTGTTTATGAATTTGCCTTCCAGACTGGTCTGTGCGAAGTCAATCAAAGGAGAGTCCATGATACCAAAAGACTTTGCATATATCTCTTGGGATAAGCAAACTGGTATGTCTTTCTGGTAAGTCCAATATTGAATATAGTCCCGTGGCCCCTTTCGTACTGACTGTCTTGCAGAACATCTGGCGTGTCAGTAACTGTGTTTATTTCATATTTCAATGACTCCCTCTAGAAGAAGAAGAAGCTAGGTACATGGACTCAACCAATCTGCAACTGGAAAGAATGAATGTCTATCTTAGTGAAGTGGGAGAAAGTAAAAACCTTCCGTGGTGTGTCCGCGCTAACCTGGAACCAGCGACCATGGATACAATCAGATACGGTCCTGTTGGTCCTTTATATACACCTAACAACTTCGTATTCGGGCAATCTGAAACGGGGAACAATTGGGCCAAGGGCACTATACTGAAGGTGCCGATTTGGTAGGTCAAGTGGCTTGTGCTGTTCAGAGCGAAGCAGACGCATGCAATTGCAATCAAGGTTCCCCGAATACCCAATCGCGGGGAGGCAGGACAGGGGCTGGTATGGTTACTCTTTTGATCTGAAGAATTGAAAAAGATTCTCAGTGATGTCCTCTGCTAAGGTCTCCGATGCCGTCGCTGGACCTTACAATGCTATATTCTCGACAAAGCACTGGATTAAACAAGCGGATGAGGCCTGCCTCCACTGTGATGTGAGATAGACAATTCCTTCGCTGCTACTAAACGACTAATTGGCATGAGGGCTCTAAGATACCTGCGTACGCACTTCAGGGCTAGGTTATCCGACGCACCATGTCCTCAAGTACTTGCTCTCGGCAGTCATGTCTAGAGTCTCGTTGTGCTTTCACATTCCAGGCGAATTAAATTTTGATTTGCGCAAGCTTGCGAACATCGTCCCATTTTCCCATTCGTGCTTCTTCATGGCGGGCATTGAGCCATTCACCAGCCACGGATGCACTCATTCCGGTCAGTCACATTCTCGGATCTTACGCAACAAATGCTAGGTTCGAACGACATGATAGCCTCTTGTGATCTCAACCGTGGCCGCCTTCTGACATGCTCTGCTTCATTGTAAGTGTTTGGGATTGCCAAACCAAGAAACCAGACCAAATCCTGAGCTCTCTAGTCAGTCGGGGACGGATCTCCATTCGAGAAATTGAGGATCAGATGAAGCACATCCAAAACAGCAACGCTGGAGTTCTTTGTAGAATGACTCCTCAACAACGTGCAGACAGCCATCTGCTCCGTACCGCCGCAGAGTCTCCGGGTGCCAGCGACTTTGCTTGGATACTCGACGGCAGTCCAGGAGATTCTCGACCGAGTGGTCTATGCCTTTGCTTGACCTTTCTGCATCAAGGCAACCTTAATATTGGGTACATAGGAGAGGGGGGGATGGAGGAACTGGACTTCGTCAAGGCCGCAAGCAATCTGCATAACTCAATCGCGGAGTATCGACAGTATCGACATGCTTCTGGTTCTGCTGGTTTCTTTAATAGGGCGAGTCCCTTCAACGATTAACTACAGACCCTCGAACAAGCGAGAATATGCTGGCTATTGGTTGTCTGCTGGCTTCAAGGACTAGTTATCAACATCAAGTCCAGGTATTCTGGGCAGAACTAGAATGTCAGCCTTCCGCCGCCTCGCTCACAATGCTTCAAATTATCGAACCCTCCCGAAGAGGAGGATTATTGCCATGATCTACGAATGACCCCAAGACATCTTCTCCTCCTCACTCTGCAACATCACCCAGACGTTCGTTATATACCACTAACCCCCATATCGACTCACGTGACACGAGCCTAGCCAAACCCCGTCTGTCTGTCACTCCCTGAGTCCCCTCTGCAGTGCCCCTCCCCCCCTCCCTCCTCCCGCGCATCCCGTCGTCTCTAAAAGTGCAATCAACTAGCGCCCACCACCCTCTGCACTCCTGTGCGTCAATCAGAATAGGGTAAAGCGGGCGGGCCAAAGGCCACCAATCTACCTGTACGATACGGTGAAAAAGGGCAAGTGTGAATTAGTGCAGAGCTTCTTTTCCCAACCTAGATGCATGATTCACGGGAAAAGGGAGGTCTTTTTTGTGGCTAGTTCTACGGAGCACTCAGTAGTAGACTAGCTCGCCGCGGGTCGTGCATCGCGGCGCAACGCACGTACGCCCGCGAACGCACGCGAAGTCTTTTTCTTTTTCTTTTTCTTTTTCTTTTTTTTTCTTTGCAAAGCTAGACTTGAACCCACCACCCCTCCCTCCCAAAAACCCAAAGAAGGAATAGAAGAATAACCCCAAGGCAAGAGAAAAAAAATAAAATAAACGGTTGACTAAGCAGGGTTAAGTAAGGAAGGTTGAGTCGGGTCGTTTGTGGTGGAATGTACGTATACCCGATTCTCATGTATGGACCAAGTTAGTCTGCTCTACGGGATCGGTTCAATGGAGCATGGATCATAGGCATCGAGATTTCCTTGGATGCTCGACTCTAGAGGTCTGGAGCGGTTTGATGGGGGGGATTGAGGATCTCGTCTGTAGCCTTTCCTTCTCTTTGTGAGTATAAGGTGGGCGTGAGGATTTTATGTAATTGGTGTGACTGTGACAGGCGAGAAGTGGGTTCTTGATAAAGCGCTGAGAGGGGAGGGAGAGCGTCGGAGGGAGGGGCTAAGCTGAGATAGCGAAAGGTGATTCACCAGGTGTGGATAGGGGGTTATCGGGGTAAGAGGGGGGGGAGAGGTGAGGTGATTTGATCAGTCAAGTTCTGCGAGTAGTAGGGTGCGTCGCGGGTGTCGCTTTGCTTGAGGATTCATACTTAAGGAATGGTCAAATGGTGACACTATGCTACTGATTTGATGACTACGAAGTAGACTCTCGTTATGAGTGGACTAATGCTGGTCTGGTTATGGTTATGAGCGACCAGGCACGGGCCATGGCGACTTATAGTTAGGAGATCAACATCTCAAGTACGGAGACTGATTTTATGTAAGTTCACTACCACTGATTGTGTGACGGATTTACCCCACTTGGCTCACCTGTGGTGGTCTATCATGTTTCAGATACATATACTTTCAAGGTCACTGCGTAGTTAATGACGAGATGGTTCTGTCGAAGTACAGTGCAGTGAGCAAGTGTAGAACCTCAAGATCCCGTCATATCCGGGAATACCCGAATCTCAGCACCGTGCCATGTGACTTGGGTTGGATCTGACCCAAAGTCCAGGCCAGTCCAGCCCAGCCCAACCGTTCTTGGTGGTAAATGCAGAGAAAGAAAGAGTCAGTCGGAATCGAATCGAATCAGTGGAGGCAAGCAAACAAGAAGACAGAGGAAAGAGGCAGCGGAACCGGAGGAAGAAGCCGAATGCCTCCAAGCTACCTTAACTTTCTACCCAACCTGTAGTGAGTTGAGTTAGTCAAGCTAGCTGAGTTAGTTCACGTACTCTTTATACAGATGATTCCCTCCATCTCTCCACTTCTGGTTTCCCAATTAGTCGGCAGGCAGATTGATGGGGCGCCCCCCGGACGGAGTGCCTCATCCCGAGCCGTTTCGAATCAACCGTGGCCGACAGACAGGAAAAGATGGGAGGAGGCCCAAGCACTTGGAGACAAAGCCATCCAATTGCACACAATCCTATTCTGTTCATTCGCCTCTCCTTACCCCCCCTTCCTCTTCCCCCCCGCCATACTTACATGGAGTCATGGACTGTGTGCACGGTTGTTGACTAATGGTCATTCTGTCCATTGGCTGTCTTGGAAATGCTAACTCGAGTGGCTGTGTATGTCGCCTTGAACTCTTTGTTGGTCCTTTCGGTGCCTTTATGGGAAGAGGCGAGAAGGTAAAGACAAGGTAATGTAGGTACACGACCTAGCTGCGCCGTACTGTACATGACAGTGGTTAGCTGGAGCTCAGGCGCCGTGCTAATTACGGAGTAGCTTGGTAGCTGATCATCTCTCTGCTCTGATAAATCCAAATCATCGGTATAATCGAATTCGATCGGTCCCCTCGGTCGCATCTGATCATGTACCTACAGTAGTAGGATGGAGAGCAGGGAAGAGGGGGTAAGGTAAAGCCAGTCAATGAATGGAGTCGGACATGATCAATGCTGGCTTGATGCTTTGCAGTACCCGACTGTCCGTGCTGGGAGCACAGAGGAAGATCTGGCCCACTTTTCCCCAGATTGTCCGGGTATGTACTCGTAATGAGGGTTTCGAATGATTCTCGCTGCTGCTTGCTTTTCCGTCCATTCATTCACCTCCCCTTGCTGAGGACTCCGGACTCAATCCAGATGCGCCATGGGGGAGGGAGATTTCCCCCGATCCGATCCTCCGACGTCATCCTCCTTCGCCTCGTCGGGGTCCGTCAATCTAAAGTTCGTGGTCAGACTGATCAGAGACAAGTGGCCGGTGGGATCACTGCCCGAGCATCTGGCCCTCTCTCCGCACTTGCTGCGACACAAAGAAATACCAGTAGCGTGGGGTGGTGTGGCGTCCAGCTGAGCCTGAGCCGTGTCATCCCGGCATGCACGTAATACACTACATAAGACCCCGACTGGGGACACTACCGATTTCAAACAAGGAAACACACTTCCATGCTTCCCGTATCTGGCAGTCATGCTGCTGTTGCTGCTGCTGCGGTACTCATCCTAGATGGTGTGGGGAAACGCCTCATCGACCATACGGCAGGCTTCGACGTGTCCGGTTTTCTGGGGAGCATATACGGTAGACTCGATGTTGCCTGAGACAGATCCCACGACCAGATAGATCTCAACTGGATATTGAAGAAGATTATCGAAAGTCGGAGGGCCCCTGCTGCAGCAAGGAATTTGGGTTTCTGCTTGTGTAGCTAAGTGGGCTGCAGGCAAGATATCTATACGAGTCTCTTCATCAGAAGTGCCTGTATCATGCCCGGCCCTTCCCCCGCCTCATGATCAGTGATCTGAATGTGCGCAGGCAATGGAACCCACTTGTTGCGCATCCTTCTCCGACAGATCCTGATTTGTCTGGGGGGCCGTGAGAATGTGCCATCAGGAGACGATGGCCTCGGGGATAAAAAAGTCCCAGTATTGCTGTTTTGTAGTGGAAAGCGATGGGAGAGACGGGGTGCGTCTGTGTGTCCTAGGAGAGAGACTGGTGAAGGGCCTGTACCACGTTGATCTTCGGTGCATTTCTCTTTTAGTCCAAGCCATGAGAGGGTCTAGGAGCCGACCGAGAGCCTCAACGGGGTCAGACCATTTGTCTCCTGTCAGTGCTAAATGGAGAGACTAAGCTTAGGTGTACGGATGCATTCCGTCGATCAGCTTCTAGCACAGTTTTGTGCTTGGTGCTCAAGATTCAGAGGGAGAGTGCAAAAGAAGAAAAAAGGAAATAAAGGAAGCAGAATTTTGGCTGCCGAGAAAAGAAAGGCGAGGCAGTCAAACCCCTGACGACGCATCATCATCGCGAGGAATTGCATTTCGGACCGGGGGGGGGGGGGGGGGGGGGGGGGGAGGGAGGGTCCTCTGCAAAATCGACCATCCACATCCACATACCACACGTACATACACACGCACACACGCACACCAGTCATACTCGCACGCACGCACGCACGCAACACACAAACCCCGGCCGGTCATCAGCCGGAGAGTAAGGTTCCCTGCCCAAATAGGAGGAAGCAACGAGGATCATCCGCGGTGGTGGTCAACAGAACTTCATGCATGGGGAGTCTGATTGGCGCACATTGCTTTTTCCATTCATTTTGGGAGCATCCACCGATTTCCGATGTGTATGCAAGTATAGATAGTGGGACGGACAGAAGGTACAGGTACAGGTACAGGTACACACACACACACACACACACACACACACAGGTACCAGACAGGTCCAGAGACCGAGTACAGTAATCAATAGTGAGGATAAAATGGATGATAGTGGGGGTGTGAAGGTGAGAGTGATGAGGAACAGAGAGGAAGGGACAGAGAAGGAGAATTGGAAGTCCATCGGAGTAAGTTACGTGCTGTGCTGTAAGGTAGTGTACTGTATTGACTGTACGGAATACTTACTTACTGTAGTGAAGATTCTCTGTCGCTTTTCTCCGTTGCGCCTTGACCCAATAAGGGTCTGTCTGTACAACAACCGGCTTGGCAGCCCAACTCTTCCTCCAGCAGGCTCTCTTTCAAGGTTCCCAGGGCTGATTCTTCGTTTTGCTCTTTTCTCTCCCCGCATCATTCGGGTGTTTCTCTTTCTGGGATTGGAGCATTACTGCCAGGTGCAGTGATAACTATACACTACCCCTCGAGATAAGTAGTTCAATATGACGGATGCAAATACGCCTTCAGACACATCGCAAGGCAATAAACAATGTACCTCGTTCATCCCAATTTCCAGTGAGCTCGGGGCTTTTGTGATGAATTCGATTCTACCAAAACCGGAATTATCAATCAGAAAGTTTGCCCACTTGGGATCCATCTGAATCTCGGTTCATGCGTGCGGACATCGAATGCTCAAGTCTGACTGGTTGAGCGAGTCAGTGACTCGCTTGGTCAGCTCCATGCTGTCCAGCCGTCAGTTATGAGTAGGATGAGACCGTTTGTTATTGCTTGAGTGTCTGTGTCTGTGTCTGTGTCTGTGTCTGTGTCTGTGTCTGTGTCTGTGTCTGTGTCTGTGTCTGTGTCTGTGTCTGTGTCTGTTGGAAGTAATCCTCAATCCTCAGAATGCCGCAGTGATTAGCTTACTAGGTAAGTTTAAGTAAAGTACTACTGACTCAGTAAACTATCATGGCCCTCGACTTGCCCATTTGGGGTTGGCTTCTGTTGAACCTGGTCAGGGTCGGAGTCTGTTATTCTACCTTGTTCTCTATTCTTACAATACGGTTTGTGTTGACTCTTCCATTATTCCCTCATCTCATTCGAATTGATGGCGTCTGTTCTCAGCGCGGTGTATCCTTGATAAGCTCGGGGTTGTTGTCGCTTTCTCTTGGATCGACGAGATCCCCAGCCTCGTTGGTTGTGGTTCTATAGGCAGACTCGCCGACTTTTCCACTCTCTTGACACTTGACACTGACACTTTCCCCTCCGTCTTCCCCCCTTCTTCTCACTCTAAGCTTGGGGGAGCCAGTCTCATTGACCATTGACTTACTATCACTTCTCTCTGACCAAGGACTGTCCGCCACTAAGTTACTACTACTCCAACTTCCAACTACACTACACTACACTACACTACACTACACTACACTACACTACACTGCTCTAACTTCTTTCCTCTACATTACACCCACTACGCCCGCTACGCCCACTACGCACACACCACACACACACACCACACATACACACACACACACACACACACACACACACACACACACACACACACACACACACACACACACACACACATCTCCATCCACCAACTTAACTTGTTCAAGTCTGTGACGCACTAACTTCAAACCAGCTGCTTGTACTTTCTTCCCATTCCTTGCCTCCCCACCCAGAGTGTTGATTCCATCTTCCGCGCAACCAGTCAATCTCAGCCAAGTCTTGTTGTTCCTCCCCACTTTCCTTCCATCCATTGTCTGTGTCTGTTCGATCTTCCCCTCCTCTTTTAATTCATCTATCCATTATTATTTTATTATTATTTTTCTTATTATTCTCAATTCTTATTAGCACTGTTATTCTACCACCACTACTATTACTACTACTACTACCACAATCACCACCACCACCACCACCACCACCACTGCTACTACTATTACTACTAATAATACCAACTACACCTACTAATCAGCTTAATCACCACCACCTTCCACCCTCCACCCTCCCACACACTCTTCCAACCTACCCTGCTGCGCTTTTCTTAAAGACCCCTCCTCGCTCGTCACAGATCAACCCCGGCCTGCCGCCCTCCTCCTCTTCTTCTGTTCGCTCGTTCTCCTTGCGTCTTACATCGCTGGCTGGCTTACTCTACACTCTATACTCAATACACTTCTTCAGTTCGATCTATATATACAATCCAGCACTTGCGTACCGTCCCTACACAACACCTCCCGCTTAGAGAGGTGGCGGCGTCTGGTGCAATGTTGTCCTTGCAGAAAGCATCCCTTTTCGCCCACCCTTCCTCCTCTCCGTCTAATGCTGCTTCATCCTCCTCATGCTCCTCGTCCTCTTCTTCCTCCGACAGCAATAATCTTTCTCATGCTTTCTCGTCAGCACATCCGACCGCTGTTCGTCGCGACTCCGCCCGCTCGGTGGTTTTTCCCGACATCCCCGCCTTTGTCGACTGCCCTTTAGTCGACGACTCCTCACTTTCTCATCGCACCAGTATCAGCACTACTGACGATCTCTCCAATGACTCGCCAATTTCCTGGGATGGAGAGGGCCCTTCCGACACTTCACCCACCGCGCCCACCGCCGAACTGGACTTTAAACTCCACGATGGGTCACAACACCACCACCACCACCATCACCCGTTTGCTGCGACCGCAATCCCCTCCACGAAGACCTTCCGACTCAACATTTTCGCCCCCCATTATGCCGACCCAACCATGACCGACGTAACACCCAAAATCGAGGAGTTGGACGACGTGGACGACCTGCAAAGTATTAAACCTGTGGGGGTGGAGACGACGACAAATGCGATAGCCAATGCGAGCTCTAGTCATTCGGATTCCACGGCTGTTCCCGTGAACGTCCCACGGAAACGTGGACGACCGCGCAAACATCCGCTGCCAGCGCCCGGGGGCCAGGTCAAGATCACCAAAGGGAGATCCAAAACCGGATGTATCACTTGTCGTCGTCGAAAGAAAAAGTGTGATGAGACCAAGCCAGCGTAAGTCTTCGCTCATATCGTGTGGAGCCGGTTGCAGTGTTGAATTCTGACTTCATCCGCAGTTGTCTTAATTGTCAGAAGAATGCCGTCGTATGCGAAGGCTATCCTCCGAAAGAGATCTGGAAGAGTGGCAAGCAAAAACTCGAGGATGGTAAGGATCATCGATCTCTTTTGTTCCGACCTTTAAGTTTCTACCCCTTGATTTATCGGGTCCATATACGACATCTCAGACTTCCATTCTGACTCCGTTCGCTTGACAGCGGCTCGCACCCATTCCATGGTCTCTCGCAGCCTCCCGTTGCTGATCGATGGTATTGAGACCGAGATCGATCGTCGATTTCTGGACCACTTCGTCTACGGGTTTAGTCGGGTTCTGACATTGATCAACGATGACTCCAATCCCTTTAAGGAGATCCTTCTGCCTATGGCCACCCAGCATCGAGGGTTAATGCACTCCCTCATGTGCTTGTCAGGCTCACATCTCTCCGCCCTTGATCCAGAACCAAAGCTGAAGGAGCGTAAATATTACCATTTTCATCGTGCCATCCGCGATCTCAAGGATAATATCAACGCCTCCTCCGGTGGTCCGGTGGAACCCGAGCTCTTGGTGGAGGATCCCATAATTGCCTCCACTATCGCCCTCAGCTTGAATACAATTTGTGAAGGCGAAACAAACGGCGAGTACCGTCCACATATGGACGCCGCACGGTACCTCTTGACCACACAGCAGCCCCGGAACGAGAAATTCCGTCAGTTTATTGTTGAATTCTTCCAGTATCACGATGTGTCCAACTCAATCACCTCCCTGGATCGCCGCCCGGCTCACTTGCAGGGTGACTTACGCCTTCCCGACTTTGTACCCCATGCCCAAGCGGGAATGTTCTTGGGTGTCTTTGATGGATTGTTCAACTACATATCTGAAGTAACTCGATTACGAGATCGCATCCGTCAGCGGTTCGACGAGGGTTATGAGCCTGCAGTGGATTATCAGATTTTGGGCGACGCTGTCTCAATAGACTCGGCTATCCGAACCTGGGAGACGTCGTATGCCGCCAACACGCCAAATTACTACCTCGCACAGCTCTACCGGCAATCGACCTGGGTTTATCTCTACCGCACCATCCGGCCATCCCGACCGAGCGAAAAAATTGCTCAGGTGGTAGATGATGGTCTGGCATATTTGGATCAAATCCCCCAAGATGCAGGAGCATTATGCATTGTGCTGATGCCCCTGTTTTTGCTGGGTTGCTCGGCATTCTTGCCACGCCAACGCGAGCGAATCAAAAAGGGGTTCGAATCCCTTAAAGCTTACTCCAACCTCCGTAACATTGAGCCCGCCTTCAAGGTCGTGGAGCGGGTCTGGGAAGTCATGGATAACAACTCGGAAGAGAGCTGGGATTGGGAGAAGATCATCAAAGACATGAAGATGGATTTCCTGATCACTTAAGCAAGATTTCGTCGGACCTCCTTGCATTCGTTGGCTGACCAGGTCGAGCACATCAGTTGCTTGCAGATCAGCAACGCATGTGTGTACTTCTTCCCTTGTACCCTGATTGTTTCATTCTTTTTCACATATTACGATTTCGGCTGGCGAACAGCACAGCTGGTTAGTTGAGACGGACATGCCCTTAAAATGAACAGTTGCAAGGGCAGGCACAGGATCTGGATCGGCGTCGGGCCAATGGGGACATATTTAATCTCACATATACCTTCTACCTCATTGAGATCTTATCTGGTTCATTTGTGCGAGCAGTGAGACCACGGGTAGATGTACTTTTACCTTCTTGATGGAGTTCCGGGGCATTTTCATTTTCCCACAACTGAATGCTGATGAATTGTGATGATGAGCCATGTATAAGGGGACCTGTGAATTGTATAGTTATGGTCTCATTTTCTTTTATGATCATCTTTTCCCTTTTCCACTTTTTCTTTTTCTTTTTCTTTTTTTTTTTCTTTTTTTCCCTATCCGATTAGCATATCCATATGCATACAATAAAGCATGCGTAGCGTGCCATTGCATCGGTGGCATACCCAAGCCCAACTCGGCAATCGCGAAGCTAGGAATACTGTACTGTACTGTACCTGCGTCCGTGCTTTCTCCTCGATGAGCTTCTTCTAACCCGCCCCATCTCCTTCGCATGTCTCTCTGCCTTATGTCTACGGTTTTACCGGGTTACATACCCATATCACCCTTCGGTGTTTGTTTTCTGACTGAATAGGGTTCAGGTACCGAATTTATCCATGGATCAGCTTTCAACGATCAGGGATTCCTAAATACTTGATATGTAGCCGGAAAGATTGTCCACTTTTATGCGCATCAATGTCACTTCTCTTGCCGATATTCCAATTCCATATGCGAGACCTCTCTCACTCATCATATCCAAGTGTCTTTGCCTTGTTATTCCTCGAGTTGTGTGTCGAGGCAGGATGGAAGGATCATTTCTCTCTCTCTCTCTCTCTCTCTGACACTAAACTTTTCTGTAGGTGTTGCTTCCTCCAGAAAGTGAAAGACTGTAAGCTAAACTAGATGGCACTCGAACCCGTCTCCCGAAACGTCCCATAATCCTCCTCCGTGGCAACGGGCTCGAACTGTTCGTTGATCCGAGGTCCGGTGTATCGTCTAAATCGTACCGATTTGTTAACCATGACATGGCTGACTCGCATGAAGCCAGTCGAGATGGCTCTCGGAATACTTGAAGGGCAAGAAGAAGGAAAACGGAAAGCACGTACCCCCTTGCGGCAGCCCACCACCACACCAGTGCAAATGCAGCGATGAATGCTCCGACGAAGATCCCGTAGTTCCTGTTTTACGCGTGGAAGGTATGAGCTTTGGCTGTCTTTGGCTGACGTTTATGGGGCTTGATTGATGAAGGGGGGTTGGTGGTGCGTACATGTTCTCGAGCGTCACTGGCACGTGCGGCGGGAAGAAGAGCACTGTGCTGATGAACGTCACCCAGATGATCGAGACCCAGTTGATGTAGGGGCCCCAGCTGCCGAGCGTGAAAGGCCCCTGGGCGAATTGGACCCGGTGGCGGTAGATCTGGTGGGCGAGGATCACGGAGACATAGGAGAGGTCGAGGGCCGGGGCCGTGATGCTGAAAATCGCGGTGGCGGTTTGCGTGGACCCGATGGCGATGCAGGTCAGGCTGATGCTGAAGAGGACGACGAACCAGACGGCATTGAGGGGGGTCTGGGTTCGGGGATTGATGCGGGAGAGGGCCCTTCGGGTGGAGATTGGATTAGGTTAGTTTGGGGTTGTTGGGTGTGAGAGAAGGTAGATCGATCGTGGGGGAATAGGGCTGGGAGTAAAGAATAGAGTTCGTGGGGGAGATGGGGGTAACGCACGAGGAGAATGGCAGGGCTTCGTCACGGGCAAATGCATAGGCCATTCGCGTATCGGCCAACATGGCGGAGCAGCCGGTGAAGAGTTGCACAAGAATTGCAAACCCCCACATGATGGAGCCTCCGACAGGGCCTCCGGCATTCAAGAAGATCTGCGCGGCGGGAAGGCCGGTGGGCGTGTTGAGGATGCCTTCGTAGTCCGTGAGGCAGAAGCAGAGGCATATCGTCAGTAGCCAACCGAGAGCGCCAGAGACGAGCACGGCGGTCTGGATGGCGACCGGCCCGAGGGCGGCCGCATCATGGGTCTCCTCAGACATGCTAGGTAAAGTTAGAGGATCTATACGTCCAAAAGTCACGGTGGACTCACTGAGTCGTGCCATCATAGTCGGTTAGTACCCAAGCCACGGAGATGAAGCCCAGCAGGAAGGAGAACATTTTAGAGCCCCATCCGGACCCATCGGTGAAGTGGGTAAACACCCAGACGGCGGGCTGTTTGTTGGGCGTGTACCAGAGTAGCGTGAAGCAGATGCAGACAGTGGCGGTAACTATATTGTTAGGTTTGTCTGCGAGCCAGATTCATTGAGGACGTACTATTGATTGGGGCAAACCAGGCGATTATGCGGTGCAATGATCTGGTGGTCATCGAGCAAACCACGCCTAGGATGCACAGGAGGACCACAGCCAGAAGAACGGTGTCGGATGCAGATCTAGAGCGCCTCAGTACCGGATATGGCATCAACGATGAAAAGCAAAAAGCAAAAAGGAATGAAAACCTACGGGGAGTAAGAGTATTTCCCATCGACCAATGCCGAGTTCATACTAGCACCAGCGAGCAGCATCTGACTGACGGTGTAGACCACACTAGCAACCCCTGCTGTTTGTCCCAGGAGGTTACACCAACCTTGAATCCAGGAGAAGATGGGCACATATTCTTCTGGCACGACATGCTTGGTGACGAAGTACATGCCCCCAGCTGTGGGGTATGCTGACACAAGCTCCGCTACCGAGCTGCCGATGCATAGTGCCATACAGGAGCCCACAAACCAGCACCAAACCGCTGTGGCCGGACCCCCTGCGGCCAAGGGAGCACCGAAGGTCGCTGGCACGGAACCGAGGATTCCCAAGATGGAGATAGCGTAGGAGATGGTCGACCACTTCGAGAATTCGCGTTGTAGTTCCTGGTTCAATTAGAGGATAGCCCTTGTGGTGGGTATTTCGAAAAGTCACCTGTCGATAACCAATGCGAGCCAGCAGTAGCTCGTCGTTGTCTTGAACGCCGGTCATGGTGTCACGCTCTTGTCATATACACTATAATCTTTAACTGGCCGTTTGTGGAGAAGGAATTGATCGGTCGTATTGGATACCTCCAGCCATTGATCGTTCCAAAATTGATGACCTGACGTTAGAATCCCAGTCATCATATTTTGGCTGAGTCGATACTCACTGAATCCCAGGCTGAGCGCGAAAAAGACGGTGAACGAGCCCCGCAAGGTCTAGGGTCAATAACGACAAGATACGGTGATGGAGAGGTCAATCGGAGAGGCTTCTGCTCATTTGACGCTGTGTGAGTATGCGGTAAAGGCAGTGCCGATAGAAGGTTCTAGTCAAACAGCAGAATGTTGAGGATCAAGAGATCAAGTGGCTGGAGGAATGGCGGTCGTCTGTCCTTCCATTGCATGCATCATGCAGCTTGTCGGGAAGGCTTGATAAGGACAGCAAGTGAGGGAAGAGCATAGCATTCCAACGGCTACACTTATCCCAGAGAGCTGAAGTGTATAGTAGGTAATTTCAAATCAGCCATATGATCATTACAATCATACTACTATGAATCTAAGAAGACTTGTGCTGCAACATCATTCGAAGGGTAGGATATAGATCGAGCCCCCTGGCCGAAAAGGGTAAGGCGGACAGCGCCCGGAACAAAGATGGGCCGGGCCAGTTGTTTGTATTAGGTGGTCAATTGCGATGCCCGCGGCGTCGGCCTTCGAGGTCTGTCTCCCTGTCCCTTTTTCGCTCCTCGCCTTCGATCTCACAGTGATTTTGTTGATCATCGTGGAGCAGTCGGTGGTGCCCCGCCTCTGGTAAAACAGCAAAAAGATCTTCCCCGCCCCGTGGAGGATCGATCCCACCTCGTCCTCACCCCGCCCCGGTTGTTCGTCTTCCCCCGCGTTATGAAGCACCATGGCCGACCCGAGCATGTATAACTCTTTCGGCCAAGGTGCAGTGCCTGGTGAGGCCTCGACCGATCCCAACCGTACAGCTCACCAGGTCCCTCCACAAGGCTATCCTGCCGCTGGCGTTCCACCCGGTCCTTCCCCTCCTCAGCCCGGTGCTATGTACGGAGCCCCTCAACAACAACAATGGTCCGGATACGGGGCCCCTCCACCCGCCCAGCAGCCTTCGCAACCGCCCCACGGTCAATTCGCCTATCAAACCGATCCGGTGGCTGCCGGGGGTGTGTCTCCAGATCCCGCGATGGCTGGTTTAGCATCTCAGATGAGTGGGTTGGGCATAATTGCAAGTGATGGCGGGGCTCGGACATCGAAGAAGAAGCATCGTCACGCACACCACGAGATCGCAGGAGCTTCGACCTCAGCTTCGCAGTCACTCGGCGCAGTCCCCCAAGCCGGTATACCGCCAACGTCGCAATTCCTGAACACCGGATTGAATCAGGCCGCACGTCCTATTTCCCCTGCGGCCGGGATTCCTGCCCCAGTGAATCCGGCGCTCGGAGGAGCCGATGTAGGCTCCGTTCCCACGCAGGGCAAGATTGATCCAGAGCAGATCCCAAGTATCCCTCGGTCTCGCGACCTCCCGGCTCAGTACTACTTCAACCATGTGTACCCGACGATGGAGCGACACCTTCCTCCACCGGCAGCGGTTCCTTTCGTGGCGCACGACCAGGGCAACTCCTCCCCGAAGTATGCCCGACTTACATTGAATAATATTCCTTCGACATCTGATTTCCTCTCTTCTACCGCGCTTCCCTTGGGCATGATCCTGCAACCTCTAGCCCGTCTCGACCCCGGCGAGCAACCGATCCCCGTGTTAGACTTTGGCGACGCCGGACCGCCGCGATGCCGCCGGTGCAGAACATATATCAATCCGTTCATGTCATTCAGGTCTGGAGGCAACAAATTCGTCTGTAATATGTGCACATTCCCCAACGACGTAACGGCGGACTATTTCGCGCCTATCGATCCCTCCGGGTCCCGTGTCGATCGCATGCAGCGTCCGGAGTTGATGATGGGAACTGTCGAGTTCCTGGTTCCCAAAGACTACTGGAACAAGGAACCTGTCGGTCTCCGGTGGCTGTTCTTGATTGACGTCAGCCTGGAATCGGTCAATCGGGGTTTCTTGAAGGGCGTATGCAAGGGTATAATGGAAGCTTTGTACAACGAGGAGCCTTCGGAGAACCCGGACGACGAGTCTGCGGCGCGGAGAATCCCCGAGGGTGCTAAGGTTGGCATTGTCACTTACGACAAGGAAGTTCACTTCTACAATCTCAGTGTATGTGTGCGGCTCCCACGGCTGAAATCGAACAACATGCTCACGAACCCCTAGGCCCAGCTTGACCAAGCTCAAATGATGGTGATGACGGATCTCGAAGAGCCCTTTGTCCCCCTCAGCGAGGGTTTGTTCGTTGATCCCTATGAATCCAAGTATGCTCCTCGGTGGTCGCGACTCTGGTAAATATCACTGACATGAGACACAGGAACGTCATTACCTCTCTGTTACAACGAATCCCCACCATCTTCTCCCGTGTCAAAAACCCACAGCCCGCATTGCTTCCTGCATTGAATGCCGCTCTCTCTGCATTGCGACCTACTGGTGGTAAAATCGTCGGCACAATTGCCAGCCTACCGACATGGGGCCCTGGAGCTCTTTCGCTTCGGGATGATCCCAAGGTCCATGGAACCGACGGGGAAAGAAAGCTGTTTACGACGGAACACACGGGCTGGAGAGAGACTGCCGGTCACCTGGCAGAGGCTGGCATCGGTGTCGATATGTTCATTGCAGCGCCGAGCGGCACATATATGGATGTAGCGACAATCGGTAAGCTCTTATTGCCATCTTCCTCGCAATCTGCTGCTAATGTTTCAAAGGTCATGTTCCCGAAGTGACGGGTGGAGAAACGTTCTTCTACCCCAACTTCCATGCGCCCCGCGATATCCGCAAGCTGTCTCAAGAATTGGCCCATGCGGTCACGCGCGAAACGGGCTATCAGGCTCTGATGAAGGTCCGGTGCTCCAACGGCCTTCAGGTGTCTGGATACCATGGCAACTTCGTACAACACACGTTTGGTGCCGACCTCGAGATCGGAGCCATCGACGCGGACAAAGCGATTGGGGTAACCTTCAGCTACGATGGGAAGCTCAATCCCAAGTTGGACGCTCATTTCCAGGCAGCGCTGCTATACACCTCGGCCAATGGTCAGCGTCGAGTGCGATGTATCAACACTGTGGCGGCAGTCAACGAGGGCGGTCTGGAAACCATGAAATTTGTGGATCAAGATGCAGTAGTCAGCATGATTGCCAAAGAGGGTAGGATTTTCTGTTTCTCTCTTTGGGTGAAGCTTGTTACTGATTCAATCCAGCGGCCTCGAAAACGGTGGATAAACCCCTCAAAGATGTCCGGGCCAGCGTTACGGAGAAGAGTGTGGACATTTTCAGTGGCTATCGGAAGATCTTCTCCGGCTCGCATCCTCCGGGTCAGCTGGTACTGCCGGAGAATTTGAAGGAGTTCTCGATGTACATGTTGAGTCTCCTCAAGTCACGCGCCCTTAAAGGTAAACCCGCGTTTGCCGTGCTGGAAAAAAATAGAGAGAGACAAACACTAATTTTCAAGTAGGGGGCCAGGAAGCGTCTGATCGGCGGATTCACGACATGCGGATGCTCCGCTCCATCGGCTGCACGGAACTGTCTTTGTACCTGTATCCCCGCATCCTCGCCATCCACAACATGCAGCCGACGGATGGGTTCCCCAACGAACAGGGTCAACTACAGGTGCCCCCCTCGCTGCGGGCCAGCTTCTCGAAAATCGAGGAGGGCGGGGCGTACCTGGTGGACAATGGCCAGCAGTGTTTGCTGTGGCTGCATTCGCAGGTGTCACCCAATCTCCTGGAAGATCTTTTCGGTGAGGGCCAGAACTCGCTGCAAGGGCTGAGTCCCCAAACGTCGACCATTCCCGTGCTGGAAACCCACCTAAACGCGCAGGTGCGCAACCTGCTCCAGTACTTGTCGACGATCCGGGGCTCCAAGGCGGTGACCATCCAGCTGGCCCGCCAAGGGCTCGACGGCGCGGAATACGAGTTTGCGCGGATGCTGGTGGAAGACCGCAACAACGAGGCCCAGAGCTACGTCGACTGGCTGGTGCACGTCCACCGGCAAATCAACTTGGAGCTGGCGGGGCAACGCAAACGCGACGATGCGGTGGGAGAGGGGGGGATCACGAGTTTGGCGGGCTTACGAGCACCTTATTGGTGAAGACGTCCCGGGATGAAGACCCCGGGAGGGATGGTGATATCCAACCATTGAAACTATCCATGTCCGAATGAAGATGACAGATGAGGGGAAAGGACTTCCAAAGAGGGGTAAACGAGGATGAAGGAGGGAAGGCAGGGGAGGGGAGGGGGTGTAAGTGATGGCGAAATTTCATTTACACATACAGCAGTGATCATTCCAGTTATACCACGGTTAAGCGTTTGAACCACTTACACACCCATATACAGAGAAGCCAGTTGAGAAGGTTTCTACTTTTTTTGTTTAAATTTTTGACTTTTTTCTGGTTGTCTTATTGGAAAATCCCTCAGGAACAGGCAGGTAAAGCGTAGCAATGACGGATGATGTAGCGTCTTGTGATTGGATTGGATTCGAAACCCTGTCAGGCAAGGCAGACGACAGGGTGGGAGGTGAGAAGGGAAAGGAAACGAGCGAGCAAAGAGCGGGGAGTCTAGAACCCGGCCCGGGAAGAATGGAAGGATAAGTTAAAGTGCGAATTAACTTAGGGCGCCGCGGAGACTAATGGGTTTAGTGGACGCCGGGACGGTGAGAGAGCCATGAGAAAGTGAAGAATTTTTGCACTTGCATGCAAAAGAATAAAAGCCTAGGGTCCACTTTTGGAACTTGGCATCGGCAATGGGAACCTCATTCATTCGAAGGGAAGAACAAAAGACCCAAATTGTTTCCCTGTCAGCCGAATGGCAAAGACTTTCTTAGGGAGCCATGGTAAAGATCTCCTTCTTGAACCATTCTTTGAGCCCTGAAGGCAAAAGAAAGAAGAAAAGAAACCGAGTTTCTGGTTCGGGGCTGCAAATCGGAGTGCATCGGCCGTGGTTCAAGGTTACTGCCACGCGCTGCCTGGCGGGGGGCGACCCTTATTGCCACCGAACCAAGACCCGGCAAAGATTATTACCATTGCATGGTGGCTGGTTAAGCACACCACCACCCCTCCAGGAGGTCATGCTTTAGTGCCAAACCACGGCCATGGGATTCAACCCCACACGGGCAGAGGAAAAAGAATGCCGCAAAGAGAAAGTATGAAGATGCGTGTGAATGACGCCTATTTTTGGGATTCAATTGCATTCACTCCTCCGGACAGAGAGGAATTGTACTGTACAGTGTAGGTAGCAAGCAGCCGATGGATGACGAGTCACACTTCGTATTGAGGATTGATACTATTGAATATTGGTGAAGGACAAACACGGAGTATCTACTGATGTCTACCGTATGCATAGGATTCCGTGCTCGGCTCATACACCGCAATGGGCAGGTTTACAGGCTGCAGCACCTGTCAGCTTTTCATTCATTCTCAATGGCTACCGGAACTACCACAGTACTTACCACAGTACTTACTTACCTAACTTGTACTATGTACTCCGTACAGAATACTACCTTCTGTCTTGACTGTCGACGGTCTTCAAGCCCCACTGCATCTCGTGGCGTTCAGGAACTCTCTCGCTCTTCTTTTCCTCGACCCTCTCTCCACTTCCACCAACTCTCCAAGAAGCCCCGGGGACCCAATCCACGTCACATCCTTTTCTGGTTCGCTTTCTCTCTTTGCCTCTTTTTTTCTATTCGGGATTTATTCCTTTTTGGCCTATTTTCTTCTCTTTTTCCCCTCAAACAAAGTTTTACCCCTGCGCCATCGCGGGTCATGGTTCGGTTGGTACACCGTAACTGCCAGGCACTCAGCCCGATGACAAGGCCGATGCGTGGGAGACTTGCCCCCCCCCCCCCCCCTCGAAATTGTCTATATAATGGCCTTGATCGCACGTCTCTGATCGTCTCTTTCTTTTCTGCATCCATCGACACTCTCTTGTTCGTACGGTTTTGTTTTTCAGATCTTTTGATCTGCCACTCTCTTAGATCTGCAGCGCAGATTCGTCCTTCTTTACTACAACAGTCCACTCTCTTATCCTTCCTTAAGGATTCATATAAACCACATCATCCGTCGTCGTTCAGACATCATATCCCAATCAGCACGCTTGTCTCTCTCTTTCATCTGCAAGATGTTCTTCAAGACTGCTTTCGTTGCCTCCGTGGCTGGTCTCGCTGCGGCCCTCCCTCAACGTCGCCAGAATGGTGGTGGTGTCACCATTGTCAACAACATTGGATCCGACGTCTACGCGTGGTCTGTTTCTGATAGAGTCGGAAACATGGAGACCCTTTCTGCGGGCGGCGGATCCTACACCACCAGCTGGCAAACCAACGACAACGGCGGTGGCATTTCCATCAAGCTCTCCACCTCCGAGTCCCAGGCCGACGTCCTGCAGTTCGAGTACACCCAGTCCGGCGACACCATCTTCTGGGACATGTCCTCCATCAACCTGAGCTCGGACTCCGACTTCGTCAAGTACGGCTTCAGCGTCGTTCCCTCCTCGGGTGGCAGCAACTGCCCCACCGTGACCTGCGCTGCTGGCAACTCCAACTGCCAAGAGGCCTACCAGCAGCCCGATGACAACCACGCTACTCACGGCTGCCCCATTGACACCACTTTCACCCTGACCCTGGGTACCGGTTCTTCGTAAGGATGACAGCTGGTGTCATACCTCTTTGACCCTGAGGCCACTTGCTACTTCTAGGCCGAGGGGCTTTCCTTTGCATTGCTTCTTTCTTCTTTTTTTTTTTCACCTTCTTTGACTTGTTCTACATGCTCAACCATGTGGTCATCGTCCCCACTTTTGACTTCTTTCCCTGTCTGAAAACAGCGAGCGAGTTGAGTCGGCTAGCTCGACTTCAACAAACGCTCCTGGGCTTTGGGATAAGGTTCTTTTGTTCATTTGACTTTCCCTTGATTCCCACCCCCAGTTTGTTATGAGAGAACCAAAGGAAATCGGCCTGCTGTTGCCACGCTCATGTTTTTTATGATGTATGCAGTGATTTGACATCACACGATTGACGGATAGACCCCGATAGACTAAAAGAATGACTACTGCTTTCGTTAACCCACAGTCCATTTGTTGACTCTGACAGTAATTCGTTGACTCCGAACAGTAATCTATTGACTTTACACACAGTACTTCTAATCGCACTCAGTAAAAAGCCGAGGATACCTTGATCGACTGATTTTCCCCCAGTGACTGGTACCCTCTGACTTCCCCGGTATTTTCATTAACTCTGAAACCAGCGCAAGACCAATTGGCTCAATTGTTGATGTTAGGAAACAAGACAAACAAGTCCGCAAAACCAGAATCCCAAACCAACCAATACCACCTTAAAGCCTCCTCTCCTCTCCCTTTGTGTGATCCATTGACCCCTTGTCCTTGTCCTTGTCCTTATCCATATCCTTTGGTTTCTTTATGATGTGTGGCTAGAACACCAAACTGACACGTAACAACAGAGCATTAGGCCATTAGGCAAAAATTCACACCTCTCTCTTGCCTCAAAATGCCAAAGCCACATTGACAACCAAACCAATGAATTGGTTTGGGGCAACAAGTTTTGGACAAGTCACACGGCACGAATACAGGTCTGTGCCAATGGAAAAGATCAATACATCTAGCATCTCCGAGATGGAATGCAGGTACTATGCAGGTACTCGTCACACAGCAGCAGCCAGACTTCCAGCCTAACGACGTTGACAACATCGCCCCCGGCCGGAGTTAATTACGGTTGTGCGGTGTGTTGTTGTTGTAGTTGATATTGGGGGGTAGAACTATCGATACGAACATCACCAATCACTACGGAAGGGTTCCCTTCCCTTCCCTTCCCTTCCCTTCCCTTCTCGAACTAAACGAAAATTGACGGTACTCGGGGCAAGAGGAAGAAGACCCCGGGGGGGGGGGGGGGCTTTCATACCCCCCTTCCCCTCCTCTTTGCTTCTTCATGTCCCAGTCGAACACACTGGCAAGGAGTGCAAGGATTGGAGAGAACTCAATTACTCAGATGAGTTAATCAATTCAATCCCAACTATGACGCCATATCCCTCATCCATCATGGATGATTTCCATCCTCCAGAACCCGATGGGGCTAACCCGACGGACAGGAAAAAAGGAAGGAGGGGCACAAAGAAAACCAAAAAGGAAAAGAAAAAAAAAACTGGGCTGTGCAGCGCCTGGACCCTCGACCAGAAAAAAAGCCAAGTCCCGTCAAGAGAAGTCGAATTCGATCCAGAAGAAGTGGGGGGCTGGGCCTTAGTCTAGGCTGCCAATTCACCCGCCTCATTATTGTTCGAGTCTTAGCAACAGTGGACAAAAAGAGGAGCCTCGGTTCCACTTGGGCACGACCAGATTGTGGCTTTCTGGTTACTCTACTTTGTTGTTCTTGGTTGGTTTGGGGATATGATGCAGGGGATATAGTGATACTGTGATATTGGAGTTTCATGGGGTTGTTGCTTGCTTTGTTCGCGTGATGATCACGGTCCAGCGGTTCTGTGGTTGTGTCTGTTGCGTTGCTGGAGGAAGAGGAGAGAAAGAGGGAGACTGTCAGTAAATTCTACCAGTGCAGTGGATCTCACAGCCGCCCACACGATGGCCATGCAGTTCAAGCCGATGGCCATCCACAAATCGGGGCTTAACTCTATTGCAAGATCCATTGTCATTCGTGCCCCATTGTTGCGATGAGGATTAGTCAGGGTCTGGTGTATTGTCACTAGTCCGTGTCCGTGGCCCAAGGCTGTTGATTCTTGACGTAGCCACCGCCACTTGTTGTTGTGGTGACCAAGTCTGTGACTTGATGTCTCAATTCTTCTAATCTTAATCAAGCTGATGACTTTATCAAGTCGAGGACTGAGTCAAGTTTCTTGGAAAAACCAGGCAGATTCAAGAAAACCAGCATAAATGTACAGTGTACAGTGTACAGTGTGGACTGTCCAAACCCCTCCAACCCCTCCTTCTCCCCGAACCCGGCAATTCACCTGAACATCGCAATCCCGCCAACTTCCGAGAAACGAATCACAGACTCCACTGTGTGAGCCCTGACACTGTCAGGCTGGCACCATTTCCAAGGTTCGGGATATGGCTAAATTCTGGGGGGTCCTCGCCGAAGAGCACGAACCACACGAGTTCTTGGGTGCAGTGCGGTGTGGCAACTCTTTCTTGGGCTGATTCTGCTTATGTAGCATCATGGCGACTGGCCACCACCACCACCACCACCACCGCCCATCGGAAGTCGCAGTGGAGCAAATGACCCGATTGCCCTGCCAATTGCTGGAATTCGTGGAAAAAGATTGAGGCGTGATCATCCCCCAAATAGTACTCCTACACAGTACACACTGCGGCCTACTATGGTTACAGTCTCTCACATGAGCCCCTCAGTAACTTATGTCCGGCCTTTTCGCGGAAAGCTTGCCCGTTAGCCCTGGTTGTAACCGGAACTGATGATCTGATTCTTGTCCTCCGTACCTCCAGCCTGATTTCTATACAGTCTCTGGAGAAAGGTCTGGTTTGCGTAGAGCCGATATGTCTACCTCATCCAACGGCGGAAGACAATGCACATACCCGCGCGCATGATCGAGTAGAAGGAAGTGTTCCTGTCATATCATCAGGTGAGACCGCCGCGGTTTCAAGTTCCCTCCCCGTTCTCCATTCTCCGCTGGAATTAAGCTTTCCATAGTTGCTGTCATTAATGGATAACGTGCATGGACTTTTCAGTTTGGGCTATGGAGTGGTGTACTGTACTTGCGATGTGTTGGATAAGTGTAGTACATGTCGATGGGAAATGTATACTCCGTACGATCCAGTGCACTATGTCTGCGGTGCTGGGGACCCGGCCGGTAGATGGAGTATACATATACAGTATGAGGGGTTCCTGAGAATCCGGTCGTGAACGCCCTTGCTTGTGTCCATTTCTCGAGGATTCTCAAAGATGAACTATGTCAGGGGACGGAGTAGCTTACTTTCGAGTCCCATAAATCTTAGAAGAGAATCGGGACTTGTTTCCCAGAAGGGGGATGGACAACAAACTTCATTTGTCTACCGGAATTGAGGCATTAACTCCTCCTCAATTCCATACGGTAGTCACGTATCACTAGTCATCCCATCAGTTATCCAACTATCTAACTACCCAGCCCAAAACTTCTGATACAACTGACATTGTATACGGCGCAGTATTCGCCAAGTCACCGGCACCCACCCAACCTGATATTCTCCCGAACACACCCTCGCCGATGAAACAGCCACCTGAAACACTAGCCCAACTACACAAAGAACCTCCTCTTCCCCAGCCACATCCCCACCCACAATCGACAGTCAGTTACTGACTGACTTACATCCAGCAACCCAAGCCAGCCAGCCATCCTCTCTTCCCTGCGAACAAATACAGCCACACAGATAAGAAACGGTATTGGAACATCGAATAACTCCCCAACCAATGATCAACACCTCACCCCAAGACGGTAGACCCGTCGTGTCCAGTTAGAGAGCTAAAGGGGGTAGCTATGGCTTGGCTTGCTTTTGTATCTATAAAAAAAAGGGGGGGAAAGGGGGAAAGGGGGAAAGGGGGAGGCGATGCGAATGGCTGCACCTGGAAATAGATTCTACGAAGTACTGCACATCTCGGGTTATTTTGGAATGTCTGGATGTGGTGTATACGATCTGGGTACGGATTACGGAGTAGTGAAGGAGGTTAATGGAATTCCTAAGTCCGTACTTCAATCATGCAGGTCAATAGTCGCGGCTGTGGCTGTGGCTATACCGGTAGTTGTGGTGGACGATTGTGACGTGTACTCTTGATTGAGAGTGTAGATACGAGTCATATTGGTTGCTGGTTGCTGGTTACAGGTCATTAAGGAAAGGAGGAGGGAAAGGGTTGGGTTGCGGATCTTGTTGCGGGTTACAGTATACAGAGAGGGGGGTGGTAAGGCTGCTGGGCTGGATCGGTATGAATAGTATCAGGTGTCGGAAGTCATCTGTCTCAGAACTTCCGAAACTTGGGATCGAAGTACTAGTACTTGTATATAGTCGTTGCGTAGTCAAAAAGACTGATATTGAAGTACTGCAATAACAATCGATCATGCATATTGCTTAGACTACATGCATGCATGAGCTACACGGAGATGTCCGAGCACTCCCCAACTCTCGTGATAGATTAGATCAAAGCTCGTCCTGCACAGATACACACACATCCATCAGATTGTACAGATTCGCATCCCGTCCGGAAATATCAATCAACTCCCCGAGACCACCGCCAATCCCTCATAGATCTTCTGCTTCACGGCCAGGAAACTACCCGCCCCTTTATGCCCGGGGACCATCGCTGCTGACTGCGCCGATGCCTCGATTTCGATCCGGCCCGTCGCCGACTTGCGCACGGCCACCATCCCATCGATCAACAGCGTTCCCTCACCCCTGAACTCCGCCGTGTGACCGGCCCCCTGCATGAGCTTTCGCAAGTCCGCCAGACGGAGGTCGCCCACGTGGAGAGGCCGGGTCATGGATCGCGTTCCTGCCGCCATGTTGGCCGGCAGAACATCAAGCAAGGGGTAGAGATCGGATTTGTCGGTCGGTGGTGGCGGTAGCTGCTGCTGCTTTGTCGACTCGGCTTCAGAATCCGTGGCAGGGTTCGTCTCCTCCTGCAGCAACACCTTCTGCTTCTTGTGCGGGCCCTCTTGATCCTGTTCGGGTGTTGCGGGCTGAGGCAGAGACTCAGGGCCCCGAACCTGTCCCGTCAGTGTGACGACGCCCAGGCTGCGCACATGCTGCCACTTCAAGCGTCGGAACAGGTGGTTGCTCAGCTTGACCATCCAAGCATTCGTGTCAACGCTGGCGTCGACTGTCTCTCCGTTGACCGGGGTGAAAATCACCGCTGAATCCGCGGATGCGGGGACGTCGACGTCGACCTTGGCTGCAAGAAGCTTCTGGCATTCGTCGGCCAGGGCCGTCGTCTCCTGTTTCATGCCTCCGACAAGGATCAGCTTTCGGGGTTGAATCAGTGGGATGAGCATCTCCAGGCTGCGCTTGTCATGCAGACCGGTGAAGTCCACAAACGCGAGGCGCGCGTTGATGGTCAGGCTTGCCTTCTCGAAGAATACCTTGGCCGGCCCTTCGAACGCCTGACCTTCTGGCTCATCGTCGGAAGAGGCAGCAGCATCAGCGCCCTCGCCGTCATTCAAAACGCTCATGTCATCCGCTGTGCTGATATCCTTCTTCGAAGCATCGCCCTGTCCTTGGTGGCGCTTGCCACCGCTGCTGGACAGCCTGCGTCCATTCGGTCCGCTTTCGTCCCACCTTCGCTTTTGCCCTAATTTCATCTGGGAGTCGGTCCGACGTTGCTGCATATCAGCTTCTTCGCGCTCTTCCGCCCGAAGATATTCCTCGGGTCTGATGAATTCACCATACTCGTCACCCCGCCTCCGAGGAGCTACGTAGGGGAACATCCGCTCGCGGCCCTTTTTGCCTCGGACATCGTAGTCGTAGACGTTCTTCCGTCGTAAGAGGATGTTGACACCAAGATCCTCATCCCTGAGCCCGAGCTTGTTGCGGTTACCATGAGCTAAGGTGGTGACCAGGGTCAACACCTTTCCCTGCTGCTCGGTCTCCGAGTCTTCAGATGTCGAACTAGATTGGTCATCAACGTCCGCGGTAGGGTCGGCGTTCTCCTGCCCTGCTGTCTGAGAGGCATCTTCCAGCTCTCGTTTTGTAGCGAGGTACTGTTGGTAAAGCATTTGGTCACCAGCATCGAGAGGCGCACGGCGCACCTCAGACCATGAGAGCTCTCTTCCACCACTGTGCACCTGCTCCAGCATCTCGCCGTCCGCGGCCTTCTCAAGTGCAACTCCATCCTTTCTTTCTTCGTACCATTCCCAGATCATGCTGCTAAGAGTCTTTTTGTGACGGCTCTCCCGATGATGATTGGAAACTTTCTCCTTGTGTAGAGGCTCGGTGAGAAGCAGCAGGTTGTTGGTGCCCTCGGCTACCAGACGGAGCGACTCCTTTGCGAATCCCCAATCGAGCGACGCATCAGAGGCCAGGATTACCTTGGGGGTCTGGTCGGTGAGGATCTTCTCGAGTCGCTTCCTTTTTTCGATGATCTTGAGGTGCTTGAAGGTGAACGGCCCCAGCCCTTTGCCTTCCGTCTTGTTTTGTCCCCCGGACCGCGGACCGTCGTTGTTCGACTGCGCTGTCGCATCCGCGCCTTCCGCAGCTTCGAATTCGCGTACAATGTTCTCATCCATCCATTCCAGCATACTCCTTGCAAGTCTCATGGTTGTCTTGGCCTTCTTGCCCGCCATATACAATCCTGCCGTTCGCAGCACATCGTCACCCTGACCAGAGCCCGCTGCATCGCGCCAGGCGTGCTCCAGCGCATAGACCAGCTCCAGAACACGAGCACTAGTATCCGTCGGGATCAAAACCGTGCCGCCCTTGGCGACCGTGCTCCGAATCATGTCGAGGAGCAGGTCGTCGCGCTTCTTCCGTCCGCCAGGGAGAGCAAACTTCTCGCCTCCACGGGTACTACATATAAGCGCCGTTGGCTTGCGCAGCTGCTCGATAACCTCCGTCCCGCTTGCCCCCGAGCCGCCGAACCACGCCGCTCCCGCCACAACGCTCTCGCGGGCCTGATTCCAGTCGACCGCGTAGACGATGGATTCCAGCCCATGCTGGATATGCCATATCGTACCACCCACGGTGTGTCCAGCATTGTAAGCAGTCAAGGTCAGACCGTCCAGAGGCGGGGACCAAGGAGAACGGAGCGGTTGGTGAGGTTGCGAGTATTTCAATTGATGGATCCGCGAAAAGTAGAGCGCGATGTCTTCGGCGGTAGGGGGTTGGAGCAAGATGCGGCCTGCGTGTGTAGCCTCAGGGCTTTCGTCGCCTTCGTCGACGGATGCTGCGGCCGACGCGGCGGAAGTGGATGCTCCGGGGTCCGAGATCGAGGTTTCGGGTAAAAATGTCGCAGCCAGAGGCGAGGATGCATATAGGTCTTGAAGAAGCGTGCGACCGAGGGCAACGACGGGACTCGTGGCGTAGACCGGGATCTTAGTGAACGAAGGAATGGTCGCGCAGCAGTGGACATAGGCACCGATGTGTGCGGGAGTCGCGTGGGTTAGGAGGATCAACGACAATGTAGGAACATGTCTATTGTACAAGATGGGTATGATTAGAAAGGGCTGTTTTCATCAGGGAGTTCAGAACCTCCTGAGGAACAAGTATGGCTCACCTTTCCAGCTCCTGCAGGTCAAGGGTATTGAAGGTGTCATCCCAACCGACATCCACAAGGATTTTTATCCCACCTTCAAGCTCCAACAGCGACTGCGATGCCTTCGATGCGGATGACTGAGCACCGAGCAAAGGAGTGAAGGTGAACATCTTGACCGGATTTCGTCACGCGCTCCCTGGGGAGAGCTTTGGCTGTATAAGTGAGATGGTAGTGTCGCGAGGACGGCAAGATGCTCCAATCAAGTCATCGATACGAGAGGTTAATGAGAGAGACAGTCTAAGTACAGCGAGTTAATTGCATGCTCAGACACATCCGCTGGGTTAGACACACCTGGCGCAGGATTCTGGACCTGGTGCCGGTCGGATGTTGTCGCTTTCATTGAGCGCCGAGCGATGAAGCCATCGCGGGTCGCAGTTTTGTCCTGTTTGCATCGGCTGCGTTCTGCTGCTTTCTTTGTCCGCCGCGGCATTGACCCTCTTTCCAGTTTCCAGCCAACTGGTTTACTGATGCAAAATAAGGAGGACAAAATATGCCTCCAACTCCCTTGCGCAGATGTATAACCCTCGTAACCTGAGCATTGGCAATATTGTGGATGTCAAATAGCATTGAACTGCGCTTTTCTACTTGAAGTAAACACACCAATCTCGATCCAGACCATGAAACACAGAACCTCTATTCCACCCGAAAGCCCCAAACACTGATACCTGCTCAAGCTATCATCATAAGTGGATTAAAACATATGAAACTGGAATAACTGTGACCCTGTAACATGCTCCATTCTTTGACAAGAGTTCGCGCTTATTCTACCGTCAATTATCAGGGACATTCTGAAAGTGTTGTTGGTTTCGTCAATCCGGACTCTCTGATGAGCGAATTCCTTCTAGGACGGATTCCTGCCTCTAGTAGGTCTGGGATATCATACACAAGGGTGGCTACCTACATAGTAGCCTGGCAGCAGAATTCTAATGACTAGGAACCTCAATATGTGATTTGTTGAAAGGCACTTTCCTGCGGAACCGATGTTCGATTTGGTTTGCGGATCCGACACTTTGGTTACAGAAGTTCGGAGCCGATGGCGGGGACGCTTTCTCAGGACTGTACAATACTACATTGCACACACCTCGAACATTATATTGTATCTGCTGTTGCGGCTCCGATATTCGTGCAGATCTCTCATGTCAAGCTCTTCATGCAGTATAAATTCAAGGTCCCTACCTCCTGTCTCCAGGGCTCGGACTCGATCAAGCCACTGCAGAATTAATTCCTCCGCAAACATACTGGAACTTCCTGCTTCATTTGACATCCTCCTACACCGACATCAGCAGCGCTATGATCAGACCAGCCATTGTTATTGTCCCAGGCTCCTGGCACCGGCCGCAGCACTATCGGCGTCTAGTCGATGGGCTGGCGAAATTCAATTATCAGGCAGTAGGTGTGACACTGCCCTCCGTGGACTCCAGCCCTCCCCTCAGCAGCTGGGCCACCGATGCAGAGGCCATTCGCAAGGTCATCCTGGGCTACCTTGACGCAGGCCGTGACGTGATCACCGTGGCTCATTCATTCGGCGGGATCCCCATGTCAGAAGCAGTCAAGGGCTTGGGCAAGAGCACCCGCGAAAGCCAAGGCTTCAAGGGTGGTGTTCTCCGGTTGATGTATATGGCTGCCATGGCACTACCCGAAGGCCAGAACCACGTCGGGCAAATCAAACCTCAGACGCCCGAAGAAGAGGAGCTTGAACGGCAACGGCAGGAACATGTAGCGAAGCATGGTGGAATGCGTTTCACTGAGGTATGATTGTTGTTCTCGTTATGTCGCCGCAAAGTGGCCGATTCGGCTGACCTTATAATTTGGCTTTGTAGGATGGAGCGATGATCGTGGACAGGGAAGCAGCGCGCGAGGTCTTCTATAATCGATGCGAGCCTGCCGACGTGGAGGAAGCGCTTGATCTGCTAGGCTCGTACCCTGTCGGCCCGTTGTCCGTGCCAGTGACTTACACGGCCTATCGTGAAATCCCCAGTACCTATATTGTCTGCGAGAATGATAGGGCTTTGCCGCTTTCTGTGCAAGAGCGGATGATTGCTCAAAGCGAGGGGGCGCTGCAGGTGGAGCGGTGTCAAGAAGGACACTCCCCGTTCTTGAGCAATCCACAGTTCATCGTGGATTGCGTCCGCAGGGCTGCTGGGGAGGATATCTAAGCTGTTTCTGCGATGGTCTCTGCCTGTATAATGGAATATTTTGTTGGCCGTTGTCTGCTCATACTCATGAGTTTGAAATGTGATAGCTTCTGGATATTGATACTGATGCACACTGTTAAAGTAGAATTCATATCCATAATGAACCGGCAGGGCTATTGTAGTTGCTGAGATAGGCTCTCATTGGCCAGCAAGCGACAGAGTTAGCTGACTTAACAGTGAGTCAGCGAGGCAAATATCCATGATAGCCCCCGGTTTTACCCGAACAGGCAGTCAGTCGCTTGCCTTCTAAATCTATAGCTATGATGCAGGTATCTTCAACCTTGAATCCTTATATTCACTTCATCCTACTGATATCGGTAGACTCACATACTCGATAATGAGCTCATAAGTACCCCTGCTTCTCATTGGAGATTCTTGTCCGAATGTCCCACGAGCAAGTTTCAAGGGTGGTGAAGCCGCCATGTCCCACTGCTCGGCGTCGCCAGAACACAAGCTGTGATCCATGCCGTCGCTCGAAGCGGCGATGTGTCTTGCTGTCCCTTACCGATGGTGGATCAGCTTCTGTATGTACTAATTGCAAGCGATTGAAACATCACTGCACCTTTGACTTCATCAAGTCTGTTTCTTCACGGCCGAGGAAACGCAAAGGCGCAGCAGGTGTTGGCGCACAGCTACTGCACCTTAACCAGTCGCAGGTTCTTAATCCAAGGGATGGGGCACTGACGAATGGCCTTGGAGACGATTTCGAATTAAGTATTGGCACTGACGAGGAAGACTTCACATCATGGCTAAATTTCGATATGGAGCTGTCTCAGAGCACCAGCACCGATATATACGACCCGTTTTCGGCCTCATCACTGGACTCCTCAAGGACAGTAGAAGCGCTACATGAGCCGTCTTTACCTTCTCCTTCGGTATCTTCGCGGGCAGATCAGCATTCTCTACCAGCCAAACCACAGTCAATGCTCGTGGGCAGGAGTAGGAATAGCCCGATACACCTTTTGAATTCAAAACTGGAAGCGACGGTGCTCGACGAGTGTCTTGCTTCGATCTACAATGCCATCGTAAGGGACTCTGCGTCGAGGTTTATAGATTATGAGTGCAACCTTTCTGCATCGGGTCGTCCCTATTACCTAGAAAGTAGATTTTCAGACCAGGCGGAACTTGGTAAGCTATACCCTCAGTCCAAACATGGATTGAAACCACCTCAGAACCTATCAAGACTCATATCAAGCTCTAGGAGGCGCCAACAAGAACCTATCCTCTCAGCTGTCAGCGACTCGGGAAATTCGACACCCCAGAATGACTATGCTGGGCGCAGTGCGGTTTCTGGATCATTTTAGTCACCTCTACGGCAACAAACTAAGCACTGCAGCTCGGAAACAGTCAGACACGGTTCTGAAAGCAGTGCTTCGGGTGTTTTCCCTTCAATGGCTGCCCACGTCGGAGGGAGTGTCACCTGTGGGGCAGCACGCAGGCCGTGATGTTCTCACTGACACTTTCTATGACTCCTGGATGGAGGCACGGTCACTTATCCAGGGTAGTTTGCCAGTCCTGTCATTTCGGGTGGTGTGTGCCATTCTTCTCTTCGATGGTATCGTCATGCCTTCCCAAGCATACGGCAGGCCAGACGGAACGGCTGCCAGGATGCACGAATTCCTCGATACCGGGCTGCAGAAGCTGTCTCGTCTGGATGATCTCGTCCGGAAGTATTGCTGTCAACTGGGGCCAGCATCACTTTACGGGACCTTATTACATTCCAGTCTAGACATCATCCGCTGGGGAGGTTATATCCGGGACATTGGGGCCGCGCTTTTTACAGATCATCGGTGCAAGCTCCCTGAGCTGCTTGTTCACAGGATAGGTTAGCTTCACTCATTCATACACGATATCTCCTCACCTCGTCTGACTCGATCATAGAGAATGATTCGACACTACCGCCGTCAATCAACCATATCTACCCCAGCGATCTCGATGCCAGTATCCCACGCATCTATCGCACTGCTGTAGCAAGAGCCTTCGCCATCTGGCGAATGATGATCAAAGTCAAGGATCTCGTCCCACCCAACAGCACCATTAACATTAAACACCCACTTCCACCCACAACATGGGAAATCATAGCGTCGACCATGACCGCAGTAGACGACTACAATTACACCCTCCGCCCTTTCATGTCTCACTGCATGGAGAACTACGCTCACCTCTCCACCGAGTCCAAGATCTACGCATGTATGTCACCAAGCTTCGAACTCTACGAAACAGTCCCTTGTACCCAACCACCCACACACCGCAGTCCCTACGCTCTATCTACCCTGATTTTCCACCCACCAACCAACCCAAACTAACCTGCCTCTATTTCCTTATCAGTATCCGTCCTAACCTTCTGGGACCTCGGGACCCTGATTTTCGGCCAAACCCTAACCGCCATCCTCCACCAACCCTCCCTCAACCACGACTCCCCTTTATCACTGCCCATCGCAGAATCACAGATCCGCGCTCTCCAAAAGACCGCCGTAATCTCCATCGCCCAGGCGATAGAATGCTCTCTCACCCACCCTGTCACCCACGACACCTTCAACCTGCAAAACGGATTGAGCGCGGACCTCCCCCTCACCGCCTATCATATCACCCCAACGCTTATGGTTACAGCCTTGCGTCTGGCGATCGAGATTGGTATTGAGCTTTGGCTTGGAGACTCAGGTTCAGGTTCAGCCTATCAAGCCGCCATTATTGGTGGCGGTGGTGTTGAGGATGATAATGATGATGATGATGATGATGATGATAACGTCTGGCAAAAGCGGGTGGATGTTCTTGTCAAAGGGCTTTTGTCGTTAGAGGTGACCATCGGCGGATCGCAGGCAGTAGGCCCGGTGCTGGAGGGCCTACTGCGGAGGTATGGGGATGTGGTGTCTGAGTGTTGGAGCTGTGAGTTTTAGGAACTTGAATTCCGATGCCATGATTGTATAATAGCTTCTGTATAAGGAAGTGTTATCGTCATTCTCCACTTACTCTCAAGTCAAGATATCTATTGCCAGTTTGCTCCCAACAACTTACATGCGGTGCAAAACTTCCAACTCTGATGCCTACAGTATCACAACAATAAAGTTATATACTACTGCTAGACCCAATCATAGCAAGAAAAATCTGTTATAGATACAGACAAGTTAAGACATACTTGCAACATAGCAGCAAACCACCACCTGGCGTCCTTTAGCAGGCTACTGACCATCTCGACCCTCCGTGCCAAACTTGCCCAATCCCCGCTCACGAACCACATCCCGCCAGCCACTACTTAACCCCAACAACTACTTCTTCTTCTTCTTCTTTTTCCGACTCGCGCGACTAATCCTCTTACTCCTGCGACACTTCCTCGCCGTCTTCGGGAAACTCCCATGGGTCCTCGTATTAATGGAGAAGGCATCGCGCGTCGGAGTCTGCTTCGTAGTCCGCTTCGCAGGAGGTTTCGGGGCCTTATCCCCATCCCCATCCCCATCACCGTCTCCATCTCCATCTCCAGGAGCCGCCTGCTTCGAAGCATCATCCGCAGCATCATCCGCAGCCGCAGCCGCAGCACCTTTCCGCGCCCTCCCGCGCTTCCGCTTCAGCGTCGTCCCCACCGCGTCCGCCGACGGGTCGAACTTCCCCGGGAACGGCGGCAGCTGGTCGATCTGGCCCTCGAGCCCGATCGTGGTGCGATCGCGGATCTCGACGCCGGACCACATCCTCATCCGGCGCCGGATCCTCCCGGGCGGCCAGTACGTCGGGGCATTCTTCAGGAGCGTGTCGGCCGCTTGCTGGACCAGCTTGTCCGTGTACTCGCGGCTGCGCCACGGCGAGGGGGCGGTCTTCTTGCCGGTTTGGGTTTGGGTTTGGGTTTTGTCGGTTGTGGTTTTGGTTGCTTCCTCCCCCTCTCCTTCCTGCTCCGGGACTGGGGCTGGAGCTGGGGGTAGGGGTGGGGGTGGGGCGGCCCCCTTGGAGACTTGCTGGCCGGTTTGGTTGGTGGGGATCGGGTCTGGTAGATGGGGTGGTGGTGGTGGTGGTGATGATGATGCTGCTGCTGCTGCTGTCGCCTCTTTTGGAACTGGCTGGCTAGTCTGCGTGGTGGGTTTTGGGCCTGGTAGCTTGGATATCGGGATATTTTCTTGGTCGCTCAACGGGGCTGCCAGAATTTTGCCGGTGGTTTGGTTAGTCAGATAGATACAAAACCATTTTGCGCAAAGCTGGCATAAAGAACTGTTGCTGTGTTTGGCCCTTACATGGTCGTGGTGAATTCAGGTCGCCCTCGTGAGGCACCTCGGCGTGAGGTTCAGTCTCCCCATCTGAGGGGCCTGGTATCGGAGCGGGATTAGTGGCTTCTTCGGGATCATCATCATCCCGCGCTGCGTGTATACACGGAGCAATCAGCTTCTTACGAGGTATATAGCACGCAAGCAAGTATGGGGAGCAGGAATGCAAGGGACGCAAGGGATGTATCATAAAGAATGTGAGCAGGGACGGTGCAAATCTTGCGGTGCTAATCCTGGCAAAGAAAACCATCGGACAACCAAGAAATTTAGACTACCAGAGAAATATTGACCTCATTTGAGCTTAAGTTGAAAGGAGGGGAGTTTGCCGTTGGTCAAGGTTGAAAGTATCCTCAAATACACACACTCTGCTTATCTCAGAATCTTGAATGCATACAGGAATAGACAGAGGAACATTGCCAGGAGCAAGATGATGACGACGAACCATATCCATTTGTACTCACCATAGGAGGGAGAGGTTGGTTCATAAGGCGGGGTTGTAGGATCTGCGCCTGGGAGAGCATTGCCGGCTGATATAGCTGACCCAGGCTTCGAGACAAGCATCGGGCGATCGAACCAACTGTACTGCGGGCTGGCTGTATCTGGAATGGCTTCCTGTCTCTTCAGGGACGGTCGACCATCGGGGGGCATAGGAAGCCGTGGGAGCACATCCTCCCTATTCTGCATGAGGTTTGAAAATCGGTTCTGAATATAGTCTCTCGCTTCTTCCCTGAATCTAGGATTTCGGAGGGACTCTCGGAGCGCATCATAGGCATGTCTATAAAGCTCTCTGTCATTCTTCTGCTCGGGAGGAGGGTCGAATTCCCAGCAAAAGATCTCGGCGCCAGTGAATTTGGGACTCTTTGGGTCAGCACGTTTCTCCCGTAGGTCCGTTCCACCTGGGGTATTTTCGTTAGGAAGTACCGTCCATGGTGCAGGTACTATCAACCACCGTGGACGATTATTCTGAACGCCGAAATAAATCTCAACGTTCAAGCCGGGCAGTTTGGGAAGCCCTGAATTGAGAGCCTTGCCATTTGGTATATCATACGTCCATAGAGGACTGTCAGGGGGCAATTCTCCCGTCGTCTGTTCCGGCGGTCTGCCCGCCATGGTGGCTCTATGTTCGGGTCAGTACTAGAAGCCAGAACAAAATGAGGTTGAGCTGAGCGCGAGCAATCGACCTTATACTCACATCTAGAATCTATCTCTGGAGACGATAAGATGAGGAGGTGTACAACAGAAAGTAGCTGTGGGATACAATTAATTGAGCCTAAGGAACAGAATTGGAGGATATTCAAAGTGGAAATTCAGTTTTGGAGTTAGGAAAATACCTTATGTATCGTTTGATTGAGCTCCTTTCTTTGCTGGTGTGCGCGTGTGCAAGTCCCTCCCGGTAGCAGGAAGTGTGGTTAACTGGGACAAAGAACGTTCACGGAAGTCTTTCACTTTCCGGTGGTCGATTTATCCAAGGTTGGCAGCAGAATGAGTGCAATGCACTAGACTCTGAGGTTTCTTTGTTGAATTCGCGGGTCAATGCCTCCGCGTACCAACTGGAGCAATGTTGACTCTGCTTCGAAGTGGAATAAACACAAAGCTAGCTTGATCTGCTTTCCCATGTCAGTCAGACACAAACTGTCTCATAGAGAGCAGAACAGCTTGATCGCGCCCCAGCTACTTACCCCAACTCTTCTCCCATGTCAGTTGTTAGTGTGTGCAGCACGTGTGTGAAAACACAATACAGGAGGCCGCAAAGCTTTGATCAGAACCCGATGCATACCCAGTCCAGTCCCTTGATGACAGCACCAGCAGGAGAAACAAAGTCTAGTCCCGGGATTCAACACGCGTAATCCTTCCTGGAGCTAGAGTTGAGAAGCGGACAAGTCCCAGAGGCACTTTCAAGAAACTGTTCCTCAATATCGAGGGGGCGGGGGAGACACGCGAGGAAAGAGAAGGTTGATAATGTCAAGGAATCTTTTCTTGACCTTCCCGTATCACGCTACTACCTTGCCCAAGGCCCTGACTTCACGGTTCTTTTCTCTCGAGATCAGGTCTGTGCTTGGTATTCGCTTTTTGCATTCGTGGAATTCTTGCCCTATAAGGGTTATTCCACACGAACAATCCTTCTCTTGAGCGTAGTTATCCTGGCCTGGTCGGGTGTTCGTCGTTCGCCTGCGGAGGGTCAGGTCGGGGAAACGGGGAAGATCAACAAAGAAGGTGGAGGGCCAGCATTCTTCGGAGGATTCCTCATTGCACAATTGGAGGCTTCGTGGATCACCCACAACTGTCCCAATGCGCCGTTGACTCTGCGGCGTCTGGAATGTAGGTTCATCATACGTTAGTTTGACTCTCTTTGCTTGCTTGCTTGCTTGCTTGTTTGCTTGCTTAACGAGTTCGCTCATCTTGCTGCAATCTTAGGGGTACTTTCTCCCGATTGCCTCGATGTAAACTGCTCATGTCTGAGTGAGAGAGGGAGGAGGTTCTCAACGTCTCAAGGGGCTGTGAAAGGTAGTTTGGAAGGGGAGGTCAGGAACTGGCCGGGTGATTTCCTCCTCCGAGCAAGTCGTCGTTATCGACAACCCACGAGGGTGGAAAGAGACGGGGAATGGGGGGGGAAGACCAGTCCCAACGCCATGTGGAAATTCGGAGAGTCATTGCAGCAAAGAGCTCACCCCAGCCCTCATGCCTCGTTCTTGTCATATGCATTATGTCACCCCAGCCCTGGCGATATCTTTGCTCACATTCCTCCCCTCCAGTTGGAGGTGGCGACCTCCGTGTGTTTAGACCAAGTCGGACTGAAAGTGTCACTGATAACTACGTTACATTTGCATTATCAATTACCTAATATAACATCACAGAGAAAGGGTCCGGAGGGTCAGCTGGACGGAAGATCTGCGTTGATGTTCAACATCCTCAGGCTCAAGCTCATGATTCTCTAGACACTCATGATGGATGTCGCAGACTGTTTGGCCTGCAGATGAGTCCCGATATTTGCTATGCACTCCAGGCAGATGACAGTGACCAATTCAAAGCTCTACAGTAAAGGATAAAAGTACATTATTTGCAATTCAATTCACAATACATAATCATAGCAACCAAGCCATACTAATCAGCCACTGGTTGCTGGTATGCTTGTCTCTTGGGATTATACTCAGGAACGATATAGCATGGTTCGCGCCTCCTATGACACCAATGCATAGTCTTCCGCAAACACACGCTTACTGCCAGTACCTAGGCTCGTCAAACACATGATACCGATGGCCACGTACACCCTGCCCACGGAACAGGGCGGGGAATTGACGGCCCCTGGGGACCATCTCCTCGGGTATACGCAACTCGCTCTCAGGCTCAGGCTCACCAATCACAAATTTGCCGACCTGGCACACGGATCTGTTAGCAGGGAACGAGTTACATTTACCAGTCAGGAGGTCTTACCTGGATTTCTGTGTCGGTGATAGAGTCCCGACTGACGCGGGCATAGCCCGTTCTCTTCAGATTCTTGTAAAGAATGTATTCGCACCATCTGTCCCAATCGGTAGGGTCAATGTCCTTCATGCCGCTTGTCTCGCTAACATATGTGTTGTAGTTACCCTCAAGCGGCTTCGTGACGAGATAACTCAACAGAACCATGGGACGGTCCGACGAGCCCATCAGGTTGGACAGATATTCGGACTGCAGGCGACGATCTTCGGGATCTTCCTCCTGGCCCGAATGGAAGACAACGACATCAACCAACTCCCCGTAGATATCGAGAGTAGCATGGATGGCAGGAGCAAGCTCACCAACAGGGGAGGGAAGGAGGTGGTGAGTAGAGTTGACAATCGGGAATTTAGACAGCAAGGCAGATCCCCACGTGTGTTTGTTGGGACCAGGTCCAAAATCAGCGTACATGCCTAGGTCATCTGCCAGGAACTGCGTGACATCACGGTTGCCCATAATGATACGTTGGTTGTCGGACTCCAGCAGACCGATCACATCAAGCTCCAGCTCTTGGATCACATCACGCATGCGCCTCTCCGAAGCCCACATGTCATTGTCCAAGCCGAAGTGCACCGTCCAGATCCCCATAGTAGCAACTTTGTCTTCCTTGTGATAGGGAGTGTAGTCATTTGTGGGGAACCGAAGGTATGCAATCGAGATGGACAGAAGCTGGAGGGCCGCGAGCACATAGATGAAATAAGAGCGTTGTCTCTTGCCGTTGGGGCTGACGATCTTGCTCCGTGAGTTGTGTTTGCTAAAGACTGCAGCAGAAAAGACACCAGCACCAATACACAACATAGTGGTGATCATGATCCAGTCAGTGTGTTCTCTAACAAGGTATCCACCAGGGACGAAGGCGTAGGCAACAACCCAGACATGGAACAGCACAAGAATCATATAAACAAAGAAACCAAGTCCAAAGGTAGCTGCCGGCGAGTGCCGAACAGCAGAAGAGATGAGGACCGGGGCTACTGCGAGCAAGTAGAAAGCAAGGACAAGGGCACCGTAGAATCCAGTCCAGTGGCTGTAGCAAGTAAGGAATGCCGCGCCGAGAGAACCAAGTCCGTACGCCGTCCAGCTGCCAGCCGCGGCAGGATAGAAGAGACCATAGACAAGACCGGCGCCCATGGCAAAAATGGTGAGGGCACCGTGAGGAGCCGCGATAGGCCCGCGCACAGGATATCCCTCCCAGACCCAGGCAATCATGGTGCTAGAGTCCGAAAGAAGGTAATGCATGGCGAAGACCAACGCTCCGATACCCAATCCAGCCGGAAGCCAGGAGCCTTTCTTGCCGCTGGATGGCAGGTAATCACCTCCACTTGTCGCAGGTCTTCTGTAGGATCGCAGAACAGCCAGAATGGCGAGTAGAAGTCCAATCTTGTTCCATCCTCCATTCTCCGCATGCATAATCGGCCAGACCGGGTTGTTCGTGGTGCAAGCGAACTTGGCAACGCTCGACATGATCAGACCGGTGCCCCACGCAAAGATCCGCGACTCCAGCCTGGCCGTGTTTCCACGCTCAGCGTAGAGAGTGGCGGCCCATGTCATACAACTGCAGACAACGCTGAAAGAAGTCAAGAAGAGCCGGTTGGCAGGGTCTTGGATCTTGTATGCCAAAAGTCCAGACAACGAAAGAAGATGGAAAAGACGAGGGTTCTTGACCACCGCGGATTTCAGAGCCGGAATGGCCAGAAGAATAGGTGATAGATATGAGACGATGGCAGCCTCGTATCCGGAGATACCCATATGCCAGAGAGGGAAATCTAGTGTGATTAGCCATGCACGTTTCGAGCCTTGTAACCGTCACTTACACCAGACGAGGACAGGAAGGGCAGTGCAGAGGGTCCAGAAGATGAACTACACGTCGTTAGCAAAGGTTCCGGAGCGAGACTCAACAGAAGGTATGTTTACCCCATTGTAAACTTCCGCAGCAGCATCAATGACCTCTGTCCAGAAGAACCCCTCGCCAAAGGTGTTGCCGACAGGCTTGCCCTTCCTAACTACGAGTCAACTGCAATGATCCTTGAAATTGTTGGAGAACAGGCTATACACACTCTTTTTCAAGAACCGAGTCCGCAGTGGTCTTCAACTGCCTAGATGTTTTCCCAAAGAGCTTAGATCACGTCTTTCAAGCGCACCACAACCGACTTTTTTTTTGGCAACTGTACATTTCTCTCTCTCCCTCTCCCGCGTGATTTATTTTGGAAGCCACTGTACATACCCTCTGCTGACCCCCTTGACATCCCTTACAACGATCTCGAATGCTTCGAAATCAAGCGCAGTGACCGCGTCGAATCCCACGTCGAACAGAATAAGCGACCACTCGAAGAAAGCGTATTTCGTATAGGCTTAGCGAGGTTAGACACAAGCCGAGTAAGCTGCGGGTTCATTTGAGACTTACCTCCGGGGACCTTGTGCACTTTGTGTTGAATGAAGTAGTAGATCAATGGCACAAGGGTGCCGAAGAATAGACCGGCGAAGATCTTCCGATACTTGACAGCCTGGCGGTTGTTCGGACTCAAAGCGAGGCAGCCGAGGGTCCAAGGCAGAGTCGCAACCAAGTATGAGATCATGAAGATATCATGCCAGTCGTGATCATCAGTCGAGGTCACATATGTCCAACCTCCGCAAGTGAATGTCCGAAACAATCCGACACCAGCAACCAGCTTGGGGAGAGCGGAGTTCGGACGGGCCGTAAGGAGATACCATAGAAAGACAAGGGCGAATCTAGGTCCGGAAGTGATAGCAATGAATATTTGGAAGAAAGACCGCTCGGGGTATCGATCGCCAATGGTCGCTGAGACGGAAGGAAACCATTCGTCGGGATAACCATAGTGTTCGTTCTGGACGATCTTGCGGAAATGCAAGGACATCCCCACCACCAGGGCACTGAAGAAGGCCGTGTAGGCGACGGCAGTGTGAGTCCATGAAATCCATTTTCCATTTATCTGTGTCGGGCTTTCGATTAGACGGCGGAACTTTCTTTAATTGAGATAGACACTAACAGCCACGACGGCATCCCCATCTTTATATCTGGGTGCCATGATAAGGCAGGAGACACCGGGCTCGAGCTCCGGTGGTTAATAGAGCAATTAGGGCAGAATTGAAAGACGTTTCGAATTGAAGTAGAATAACGAGTGAATTAAAAGAGAAGAAAAAAGAAAGAAAAGAGAGAGACTGGTTCAGCCGGGGATTGAAACGACAAGCCAATGTCCAAGAGAAACAAACCCCCCTGAGGTGAGATGAGATGGATGAATTGAATGGGATGACCCTCGGTCGGATTGGAGGCTCGGCACCCACGCGGGCGCGCAAATGATACTAGTGCCAAATAGGCAGGCGGCCAGGGACCATGATAGTCGGAGATCTCGTGCGGGATGCCGACCACTTTTTTTTGCCATATTATTCTGACAGGACTCAGGACTTGCGATCTGCTCTTGAACCCTCCGAACAGGGCTTTAAGCCATCGCAATCATGTCCAACGCTACTGACAAAGCGCGCTTTTATCTGGAGAAGTCGGTTCCAGAGCTCAAAGAGTATGAGAGGAAGAAGATCTTTTCCAAGGTACTATTTCAGCCAGCCCCTCAGCCATGCGGTCGTGGCCGCAAAAAAACTGATGCAAATCGTTAATCGGATTGTAGGAAGAAATCTCGGCTATTGTCAAGAGGAGATCAGATTTCGAGCATAAGCTCAATGCCCGCGGTGCCCTCCCGTCCGATTTTGTACGATATGCCCAATATGAAATGAACTTGGATAGTTTGCGACGGAAGAGAGTGAAGCGCCTAGGTATCAAGATGCCCGGCCATACCGGGCAGAGGAGGATCTTCTTCATCCTTGACCGTGCGACCCGGAAATTCCACGGTGATATCGGCTTGTGGGCTCAGTACATTGAATATACCAGACAGCAAAAGTCCTACAAGAAGCTTTCAAATATCCTCACAGATGCCCTGCGACTGCATCCTACCAATGTCGATCTGTGGATCTATGCCGCACAATACAATGTGGAAGATCACGCCGATATGACACAGTCTCGAAGCTACATGCAGCGCGGGCTGAGGTTTTGCAAAAGCTCGAAGAAATTGTGGCTCGCTTATGCAAGACTCGAGATGTTCTACATTGCCAAACTTGTTGCTCGACAGCGGATTTTGGGACTCGACAAGCCCATCAAGGCCCGAAAGGAAGAGGAGCCTCTGGATGACATGGATGCAGACATGATCAGGCTGCCCACAATCACTGGAGAAGATATCAATCCTAGCGCTGAGGATGAGAATGAAGTGGATGAAGCGGCGCTTGAAGCCCTTAATTCGACACCCGCCCTGAGCGGCGCCATCCCTATCGCCATCTTTGAAACAGCCATGAAGAATTTCAACGACGATGACAGGTTTGGCCATGATTTCTATGATATGGCGGCCGAATATCACGATCTGCCATGTCTGCGGAAGATTCTGCAGCATGTGGTTGATTCCATGCAGAAAGCGAAGCCCGACAGTCACCATACACACATATGTTATATCAAGCTCCCCACAGCAGGAGTCCAAGTCACTTCACCCGAGTTCCCACGTGCTTTTGGCGCATCTTTTGGCCGTCTTGCGGCTCAACGCAACAACCCCTCTGTGGCCAAGGAGGTCATCAGCTGGTTGCAACCACTCGAGAAGACCGAAGGCCTGGATCCTTCACTGCAAAAAGCCATTTCTGCCACGGTTCGCAATGCAGAATGCGTTGTTCAGGGAGTTTAGATTTTATGCATTATTATTCAAGTTGTATGCAGGCGTTGAACGGGATCTACCATTTTCAGACTGCGTTAGCAAGCAGCAGGAGGGGTCATGAAAAAGTTAGCATTATATTAGTCGTCTTTACTGCCTCGTCTGCTACTCTTCTTGCTGCTGAGGAACTTCTTCGATTTGATACGAGCCTCATTTGCGGTCTTTTGCCTGTATAGTGTTAGCTGAGAGCCGCGTCTTGTCTCATGAATACCAAGCAGTTGTCATGTTTGCATACAGTTTTTGAACTCGGTCTTTTTGTTCTTGCGACGTTTCTCCGGGGATAGCATCCATTGCTGTTCTCTTGATAAGCTGGTGAAGCTTGTCGTAACACGACTCCACATTTTCATTCCGCTTGCGAGATTCGTCTGACTGGATAACCAGACTGCGAGTCCTTGGTGCGATGTAGTGGGTAGCTTGCAGCGGGGAATGCAAGACCCGGGGCACCAGTGGCAGTAAAGAATCAAGCGACACCCGTAAGGTAGCCTTCGAATTGACCCTGTTCATCTCCAATAGAGGTACATGCGTTAGTCGGACGGTACTCCATTTCTTCATTCGCAGTTAACACCGGGATGAACCGGCTTTCAAGGCGGGAACAGACTTGTTCACGTTTTGACCCCCCGGGCCACCCGAACGACTGAAGGAGACTTCACAGATGTCACGCGGAATGGTTTGGGAGCTGAAGCTAGCTAGCCATTGACGCGCGGCGCTCAGGTCATCTTCCGATACCTTCTCTTCATCTCTGATCCCGGCGGACCGTCTGGACGCAAAGGGTCTTTTTGCGACTGTGGGGCTGGCAATATGAGAAAGAAGGAGAGGACCGCGGCGAACAGGACAAAGAAGACTACGGGAAGAATTATGGAGGAGCGCGGTAGCCATGGCAGAAAGTGACGGGCTCATTCTCTGATTCGTTCTAGTGCGTGCTTGTCAAGAGAAAACCCGAAATGCTGCAGTGTGTGGTGCAGATGCACGTAATTGGAAGTTAGGGAGGGGTGAGGGGGCATTGAATTAAGGATGAGATGCTAACCAGTAACAAGCACGAGGAGGATCTTCCAGAACGTAGTCTAGCTGTAGCGATTCTAGCGAGGTAGCTGTACGGATCGAGCATAAGGGCCCGTTTCTTAGTGGTAAGAATGGTACGGAGTAGACTATGAGTTTGATTTAAGGTCGGCTCGGTCGGGCAGATAAGTTACCGTACCGTACTACTGCTTGGTTCCCGCCAGTCATTCCTGCCAGTAGTCCACGTCCTTCTCTTCTTCAACCTCACGTCGTTGTTTACGCGAGACTATCTGATTTAGGAGGTAAGGTACTACGTACGATTATCTCTAGTAAGCCACAATTGTTAACCATTACTAAATTCTACTACTCCAATACGAAAAACCAGGTAGTCACTTGACATGTCCAGCTGTTGTAAGCTTAACCCAACCCAGACATTTACACGGAAGAAGGCCCATCGGAGCCATGAATCTGGACTCGGTGACAGACCGCTATGGAGTCGACTTAGCGTTTATTCTTAGCTGGTGGGAGGGAATTGCAGCAGTCGCAGCAGTTCCAGCAGTTCCAGCAGAAGAAAATCTAGCCTCGCGCCTTGACCCGCCGCTAATGGCAATGCTAGCCAATGCTAGCCATTCATACTGCGAGATCAAGCTGACTGGCGCAAACTTTGACCATTCTCCCGTAATAATGACCTGGCCTGTGTCCTGACCTCACTCACTTACTCCCTCATTTACTCACATCTTCAACTTCCCTCACAGTACACACACTCACTGGGCCGACCTCTCCTCCTTCCCTTTTCCTCTTTCCTCCCCGATACTACACAACGTACTAGGTACTGGGTACGGTACTCGAGGAGTTAGCTCCGGCAGGTTCAGGACAGTTTCCTACTTCGTACCTATTCCTACTTCCTTCGGGATTATCTCCAAGCTCCAAGCTCATTACCCCGTACACCTTCCAGCATCACTTTTACTTATTCTTGAGTGCTTGGGTATGGTTGAACAAACTTGTTCGCCCTCACTCTGTCTATCCCTGTTACTTGTTCTATTACTAGATTCCTCTTACTTTACGCAGACCTTGTGGTAGTAGTGGTGGTGGTTGTGGTGGTGGTGTTTCTTTCCCTCCCATCTCTTCCTGCCACCACCCTCTTTTCCCCCCTCCCTCCCTCCCTCCCTCTTCCTCTCCCTCTCTCCCTCCTACTCTACCTCTGCTCCGATTCTCCCCCTCAACTGTACTTGTACTGTACTTTCTTGCTTTTTTTACCATTTGATCATTAATTACTTGGGAGTTCACCCGACCTTGACATTTTCCATACTCTCGCCTTCTTTCCGTCTTTTCTCTCCCTCTTCCTCTACATACACACACATCATCGGATTTCTCTTTCCTCGCCTCCGTCCGTCCGTCTTTTGCCATCCCATCGTCTCCTTTACCGCCCCGGCTCCAACGGCCCGGTTCTTTTTTCAAGATAGCCCCACCTTAGCTTGGACGATTTTCCAAAATCCCTATCTCTCCTGTGGTCCTTCTGGTCCTTCTGGTCCTTCTGGTCCTTCTGGTCCTTCTCTGCGTGTCTTTTTTTTGTAGATGACTCGACCTCTCGACTTTGGTCTACATGACGCCCAATTCCCCAGATGAAGCTCTCCACTTCCGAGGCAAGACCTTGACTCCCGAAAGCCCTCGTCCGCTGCACGTCGCGGAGCCGGCCAAAATCCCGGTGCTCCAAAATCAAATGGATCCTGTCTTCAACGATACTTCGACTTATGAGAGGTCCTCCGAATATCTTCATGGACTCAACTCCCAGGCGCATCAAAATGGGTCAAATCCCTATGCATCCCAAGGCCCCTATGTTGGGTTTGAAGCAATGAGGGGAAATGCGACCGGCTCCGCGCAACAAGCCCCGGAGCAACAGCCGCCGCCGCACTATACACATCATACACATCATCAGCATCATCAGCATCATCAGCATCACACACAAGGTAGCTTCCAACTTGGCTCTTTCATACTGGATGAGGGTTCGGCGAACAACCGAAACAACCACACAATATCTGCTGTGGCTACTATCCCCCAGGCGTCTCTGCCGTCAGATCGATCTGCACCCTCGAATCCGTACACTTCTACGATCCTAGGAACAACAGCTACAAACTCTGCTCTAACCACATTGCCTCCATCAGATGCCGCTGCCATCATAGCTCACCCTATGCCCGATGTCCCTCCCTCTTCTTCCCATGCCGCCCAAAATTACCCCAGTGCGAGTGAGGTAAATCCTGCTATGGCCAGCTGGACGACCTCGTTTCCCCCGTCCGATCGCCTAGTCTCCCAGAACAAACCCGCTGATAGCACCGGTGAGGATGGTGTCGATTTCCAAAACCTCCTCGATAATCTCCCCCCCTCCTCTACTGCTTTCTCTGCCCCTACCGTTGCAGAAACCGCCCCATCTACGGCCGATGCATCTGCGCTCTCCCAAGCCGGAACGGACGACCTGGGACTTCCCCCGCGCCCGCCTCCCCAAGACAAACCCTCTATCCATCCCAACTACAATGCTAGTGATGACATCCGTTCCTACCACCAGCTCCCCCCTAGTTCCTCCGCCACACAACCCTCCTCCCCCTCCTATCCCGCCCAACAAAGTAATAATTACCAGTCTAACCTGGGAGTATCGCCATTGACAGCTGCTGGCGCCCCGGGCACGTCTGCGGGAGTCAGCGCGCTGCCCCCTCCCCCTGTGGCGAGCTTCCAACATACAGAGCCTCAAGAGTCTGCTGCTGTTGGCGCCACTGCTGCCACTGCTCCCACTGCTGCGGCTACTGCCACCACCGCCGCCCCGGTCTTAGCCACTAAGAATGTTCGTGCGGAACGGCTAAGTACTCGGCAGTCCAAAAGCAACGCCGATGAAGATACTCCTTGGGGTCCTGAAGTACAAAAGAAATATGATGAGTTTCTTCACGATGAGAGGATATATGTCACAGAAGGCCTTTGGGATCGTTTCCCGCCTGGCTCTAGATTATTTGTTGGTAAGTTGTACTCCTCCGCACCGCCCAATGTCTTCATTTTCCACGCGGCTAATTTGTCCCGTTCGACTATGTGTGCAGGCAATTTGCCTACAGAACGCGTCACGAAACGGGATCTGTTCCATATCTTTCACAAGTTCGGCAAGCTCGCTCAGATTTCGATCAAGCAGGCATATGGATTCATTCAGTTCTTAGACTCCTCTGCTTGCAAGAATGCATTGGATTCGGAGCAGGGGGCCGTAGTCAGAGGACGGAAAGTCCGTAAGTATAGCTGATAGGTTCCTCACGGACGAATTGGAGGCTAATGTTGAATACCCTTCTAGATCTTGAAATCTCGAAGCCGCAGAGAAACACAAGGCCAGGAACTGCTTCCGGGGAACAGCCTCGTGCGCCCCCTTCAAGACGATCAAGGTCCCCCGAATACAGTCGAGGCGGTTCGTCCGGTACCCGCAACGCGCGAGTTCCGGGTGAGCGCTATGACCGACCATATGAATCCGGTAGAGTGCCTTTCAGCGACTTCAGGGACGAACCGACCCATCGGCGACGCGATGACTACCGTCCTCCTCGGTCACCATCACCACGTGCTTTCCGCGGCAGGGATGGGTACAGGTCCCGGGATCGGACCCCTGAGCGTTATGACCGACGTGAGCGGCGGCGTTCTCGATCTCCATATGCCAGGGATAGAAGGTACCGCAGCCCCAGTCCGCGGGCACGTGGAGCGTATGAATCAGAGACAGACATACCGGTTCCCCGACGAGCTCCAAGGGATGTCCCAGAAGTGCAGCTCCTAGTTCTTGAGGAAGTTGATCGGTAAGTCAAAGTTGTCCTTCCTTTTTGCATGTCTTCTAGTAGATCGGCTCTGCTAACACTAAAGTCCAGAAACTTCTTGTTCCACGTTGAGAACTCGTTCCGCAACCGGGGGCTTCGGGTCGATATTCTAGTACTTGGGCCAAGGATCCCGCTCAGCGCTGCAGTTCAACGCCAGATCCAGGAGGGTGTCCTTGCTATAGTTAGACTCTCACGACCAAGCCAGTTCTCAAGAAAGATCCCGCTACAGGTGTTTGATCGAAGTGGGGGTCCGGACAACGTTCGGTCAAATGGTAAGCTGTTGCCTGTCGTGCCGGCTGTCTTCTCACGAGGAACGTGTGTCATCTAACATAACGTCAGAATACCCCGATGTCGAACCTAGCATCGCCGCTGAGATTGTGTTCCATGCACAATCCGTGCAACGTGGCGGGACCCATTCATTCACGCCAAACCCAGCGTTTGGTGTTCCTCTCCCTGCTCCGGCTGCATCGGTGCCTCAGGCTCCTTTGCCTAGTGTGCCGAGTCAGCCGAACATCGCGAATCTGATCACATCTCTCGATGGACCTACACTTCAATCGCTTCTGGGAGTGCTCCAACAGCAACAGCAGCGACCGTCAGCTGTTCCCGGCGCGCAACAGCCGTTCTCCCATCCGGCTGCTGCCCCTGCTGCCGCCACCCCGCATACTACCGCGGATCTTGCTAGTCTTTTGAATGCCGCAACCCGACAGCCCATTGCGACAAATCCGCAGCAGCCGCTAGCCCCGCAGCCCTTTCCTCTACAGACACCCAACGCTCCAGTCGTCTCGGATCCTAACTTGATCTCATTGCTTGCTAAAGGTCTGGGAGGCCAACAGTCGCAGAACCAGGCTGCTGTTGGCCACCAAGTACAAAACATCATGCATCAACTGGGTAAATGGAAGCAGTGATGCATGCTTTCTCTTCGACTACCTTCCTCACCTCGCTTCTTTCTTTTCTTCTTTCTATTCTCTCTGACCTGCGGTCTTTGGCGACGTCTCAGGAAGTCGGGCGTTGATCGATTGATCTGTCGAGAATCGGATATGGAATGTTACTTGTGGATATATTATCATGGCTCGGTTGTTGGGATTTCTTTATCTTTCGCATCGGTCGAATCAGCGAGCAACTGTTACAGGAGTGCAATGGTTGAAATTCCTTTTTCCGGAAAATTGGTCAGGCATTGGGGAGAGCGTGGTGTATTACAAAGGTCATCTGTATCTATTTCTTATTATGATCTCGTGCACCATACTAGGCGTCTCTTATTCAGTGCTAGAGGAATGCAAGCACACGGTAATGCTAATGAATTGGTATCCCTGGAAGAAAAGTGGAGAGCATGTAAATATTGTGACAGAAGGTAAGTAATTAGCCCAAAGCCTTATTTGAAAGTCATTACACATCGGTGGGCGAAAAGTCGATATAGTACAGTTTGAGATCTTCTCGGGTTGATAGCACCGTTCTATCACCCGATACGTTTTTCCTTTGGGGGATTGTCACTAAGATGACCCCATTCTATCGCGCAGTCCAACCCTGTGATTTCAGATCCTCGACCTTAGCTGCGTCTTCCTTCTTAATGCGCTCGATTGTCTTGTCCCGATTGTATTCCATGACACGCTTTTCCTTGAAGTATTTAACCTATTCGACATCCCAGTCAGTCTTGATTGGGTCTTGCAGAGCCAGAGTGACCGATCGCTTGTAACCAGGGGTCCGTGATGGTGTGGGAGGGTTTATGCGCAACGCACCCAAGCTCTCGAGCAGGCAGTCTCAAACTGTGCAAGTTCCTTTCCACACTTCCGCTGCGCTTCCTTGTCATTCTTCACAGCATTCAAGATATCGTTCCTGTCCAGACATGAGAAGAACAGGTCGCGACCTTCGTAGCACCGTTGCCGGGAGGATCGATCGGGGGCTATGCGGCCGCCGTCGGAGGCGGCGTTGGAGGAGGAATCGGAAGACCAGGGAAGCCAGCCCATTGCGCAGGACTTTGATAGTGAGAGGTGAGTGAGAGGTGGGAATTCGAGAGGAAGCTTCTAGGAAGCTGGAACTGAGATGTGATGACCGTGCGAAATGCAGAATTGGAGACGCCTTGAGCAAGTTCGTATGGGGCGGCGGCGCCGTGTAGGATATTCGCACTGCCCGCTCCGCTCCGCAATGACGGCCGGGTCATGTGGCGCTAGCCTATCCCGTCCACCACCTTTCATCCTCACAAACAAACCTCCCACTTTCCAGCCACCTGGCGACATTTTCTCGAGTCTTTGTTGTCGCCATACAAGCTGCTGCCGGGCGGAACTTTTATTACTCGCGATCCTTCGATATAATCTGTATACAAGGCAGGCAGGCAGTCTTCCACGACAGGCGAAACCCAACGGCACATTCACAAGTCCCGGCGGACAGCACACCGAACCTCATTGAGCCTCTCACCAGTCTTTCGCGCGAGCACTCGGTGGAGTCTCGACAGAACATTTTTTTTGCCGCAAGCTCCATAAGCGCATCTGCAATTCATGCCCCCGCGCCGACGTCCGCCTCCTGCGGGGGCTCGGACTGACCTCCCACCTTTGAAGATCGTGCGAAAGATTGCCCTCCTTCAAAGTGCCTACTATGTGTCCGCGACGGCTCTGATACTATTTACGACGCTTGTCTACGGTACTCCGTTCTCGTTCGATCTCGTTCTGAACTGGAATGCCTTGAGAGGAGATACCACTGTAGGGTGGATGCTAGGGTTGGTATGGATATTGAACAGTGGGATAGGGTAAGCCCGGGGGCCCCCCCATCCATCCCCATTGCTTCTGGGTAGAGATGATGGGAGTTGCTAACAGTGGCTCGCTCACGCTCAGGGTGGTCTATCTTCTACTTCTCGTGTCGCGCTCGAAACTCATCCCCGACTTTGCGCTCACGATACACTTCTTGCACCTAATCATCACCGTCTTCTACACTCGCTCCGTGCCCTCGAACTGGCTCTGGTGGGGCCTACAATGCGCCAGTGCCGCTCTCATGACGTTTTTGGGGATCTGGGCGTGTCGGTGGCGGGAATTGCAACCGATCAGCTTCGGGGGCATGTCTGGCAGTAACAACACGGGGCGTACGGCGGGAGGCTCGTCTCAGCCGCAGGCTGATGGTGCTGACGAGTCCTTCTCTCTGTCGCGGGGTCGTGGACGGGGCCGCAACCTTCCAGACGGGGGAGATGAATATGAGATGAGCCTGTTGAAGGGCACGGGTGATCGGGCTGTGTAGCCTCGAGACGATCCGGTTGCCTTTCCATGCTTTTCTGCTGAGTGTGGGGAGAGAGGTGCATATGCTTGTCAATGTAACATTGAGCGATTTTCCCGGCATAGTTGTCCTTTTTTCTTTTCTTCAAGTATACCCTGGCTGGCTGGTACCTGTATAGATGGCGTTGCTGTGGTGGTATTTTTTTTCTCTCGTTTTACTTTTTCTTCTCTCTGTGTTATATATGTTTACTTCTTGACCTGGAGTACTCAGTCTGGTTACAGTTTATAGCATACGTGCGGGCAATATGGTTTATATACTCTTGTTACCCAGAGATACGGGTTGGGAAATACGGCAATGCTAGAAAGTTGCCCAGTATAAAAAGGCAAGGATGAATACTGATCATGGAGCGGGTGGTCGAATTTACCTCAGGTCTCTTATCGTCACGTTGTCTAGCTGGGGGGTTCAATTAGGCAAGTATAAGTTCAACCCTGCCAACCAAAAGAGTAAGTGATTTGTTCGTGGAAGGCGCATCGGCGAGATGAGCCTATCTGAAGTGCCGGAGATAAGCTGATAACCCAATTTCATCCAGCGGGGCCGAAGTCACTTGCCTACTTGACGATATGGAGTAAGTCCAAGTCAAAAGGTAATAAAACCATCGGATGCCCCTCGTTCAGGCCTGACAATTGTCATCCTCTTCCTCATAGCTCACCCTGGTCCCTAGTTCCCATAATTTGACCCAGAATGTCCACAACAATCACCCAAGCCCCGCCAGCGGAACAGCGCACGCTCCCCGTCGTTGCCGGCCCCGCCGCCGTCAACCACAACAACTTCCACCCCGGCGATGCCGCCAGCGATAAGGCCTTCCAGGCCCTGGCGCGGGGCACGCGTAGTGGCACCCTCAAGCTGCGGGGGATCCCCACGTTCACCGATGCCTATGCCCAGCGGCAGTGGATGAAGGAGCACATGGCCGCTGCCTTTCGATACTTTGGCAAGAAGGGCTACGGCGATGGGGTGTCGGGCCATATCTCTATGCGAGGTGCCTTCCCCCCTCTTCCGAATATAGCGAGGCGAGCTTCTTCGTAAGCAGAAAACATCATACGAGAACAAAGACTAACCATCTATATCAACCGTGTAGACCCCATCCTAAAAGACCACTTCTGGATGAACCCCTTCGCCAAACACTTCTCGTCCATCAAGGCCTCGGATCTGGTGTTGGTGGACGCGGACGGCTATGTCACCGAGGGTGGCGCCCAGCTGCCCATCAACGAGGCTGGGTTCATGATTCACTCGGAAATCCACAAGGCGCGGCCGGACGTGATCGCCGCGGCGCATACGCATTCCGTGTATGGGAAGACGTGGAGTGCGTTTGGGAAGCCGGTGGAGATGTTGACGCAGGGTTCGTTTCTTTCTTGCTTGCTTTCTTGTCTTTGCTCTTGGTGACTCGATGCTGATGATGACAACCACACAAATCAGATGCATGCAACTTCTACGGCCGACTCAGTGTATACGATGATCATGGCGGTATTGCCCTTGCCCAGGATGAGGGACGGCAGATTGCCGAGGCGCTGGGGAAGGAGAATCTGGCGTGTATTTTGCAGAATCACGGGTACGTCGCTCTCTCTTCCTCTCTGAGAGCATCTGTACCGACCATTACGCAAGCTGGTGAGGGCCTCGACGAGAAGCCAGGCTAACATGTCAGCATCTAGTCTTCTGACCGTGGGTCGGACTGTCGATGAGGCGGCTTTCCTCTTTTCGAGCTTGGACAATGCCTGTTACTCGCAGCTGTTGGCGGATGCGGCTGCTGCGAACGGGATCCAGAAGAAGATCATCTCCGATGAGGTGGCGAAGTATACGGCTGATGCTGTGCAGGGCGCGGTGAGAATTTCCTCTACGTCACTTCTGTGTCAAGAAAGTGCCGCTGATTGTGATTTGATGCATAGCACAACTTCTATACGGAGTTCCAGCCAGAGTTTGAGCTGATCGTTGAGGAGACCAATGGGAGAGTTCTACAGTAGGGGTGCTGATCTCGTGGGGGGGGTGGCTGCCTGGTGCAGTGGTAACAGAGTATATACGTCGAGTATGTTACGATTTCAGGATGCTAAAGAAGGATCAAATTGATTGTCGGATTTAGGAAGCCATTTGGAGTTCTTGGTTGGCGGTAGGAAGTCTGCTTCTGTCGAGGCAAGAACAATACACACATCTCTGCTGAAAAGGGAAAAACGACTGCTCACATGAGGGTGCAGAAGAGTTGGTGTAGTAGTGTGCTTATCTATCTCTATCTGCGGAGTGTGCGGGGCAGGCGGTACTCCCCACTACCCAGCCATGGGGATGAATGCGAACAAGATGCAAAAAGCAATGACAAGAGTGGGATTCGAACCCACGCCATCAAACGATGATCAGGAAGCTGTGAAGCTGTTGTGTTAAGGTAACCTTAACCTGACGCCTTAGACCAACTCGGCCATCTTGCCTTGATTGATATTAGGGCTGTGCATCATGCATATATCACCCTGTTTAGTAGCAAGTGCTGTGTAAGCGAGGCGGGATATAGGAGCTTCTGATAATTAGCTCTAGTCTTGAACAAGCATGGCCAGTTAGAGGTTCAGCTACAGTCAACTTCCTAGTAGATGCGTCTGGTGTAGTTGACAACATTCTACGTATATAGGAATTAATTCTTACCCTTTCAATCGACAGGGTTGCAATATTTCTTGCTTGGTGTGTTCATGAATGCTTCAGCATATATATCCGATTGATTTGGAGATGGGATACGAAGGAGGCCCACTGAGGAGAGTAAACACAACGGATTACAAGAACGAGATAGACAAACAGACACCTAACAGAACATACCAATCCCGTGCATAGAACACACAACCACCAAGCAGGTGGACGGCCAGCAATAGACGCAACCAAGCCGCTGCAAATACAGCAGCACCGAACAGAACCATGCAGATAAGCAAGCACAAGAATCAACATGTGCCGGGAGGTGCGGGATATAATTGGGAGTCAGAAGGATTCGAACAGCATGACCATATCCTGCTTAGCTCCGTCTCGCTTGCCCGCATATATAAAGCCCGTGTCCTGCAACCCCGGTTAGTACAGGACACCAACAGATAAGACCGCCGCGAATCTCCCACACAAGCTAGTTTACAATGGGGTTCGACCTGAAAATCCGCCTTCGCAGCTATTTTGATAAGTATAACCCACTGATCGGTGCCTTTAAGTGTAAGGGCCAGCCCCCTCCCCTCCGGCTTATAGGATTGAAAAGCATACTGACAACCGCCCAGCCATATGGACGGTCTACAGATCCACCGACCATGAACCGGGGATCTCAGTCCAGCGCCGCGCGTTCGCGCAGTGGTTCACGGAAGTTGGTACGTCAAGCCCGTCAATCAGTTCTCTCCAATGGCATGGGGGCATGCAACTAACACAAGACAAAAAAAAAGCACCGCACTTCATCGCTTTCGAGGACACAACCTCCCTGCCCGCGCTCGCGGCCGCCGCCCACGGCACCGTCCTCGAGCTCGGCCCCGGATCAGGCAACCAGCTGCACCGGTACAAGACCGACCAGATCACCACTATCTACGGCGTGGAGCCCAACGCGGCGTTCCGCGATGCGCTGACCACCCGGATCGAGGCGCTGCAGCTGGACGCCCTGTACGTGCCGGTGTTCTACGATGTCATGGACACCACGGCCCTCGAGAGGCACGGGCTCGTCACGGAGAGCGTCGACTGCGTGACTAGCTTCGGGGTGCTGTGCTCCGTCGAGCACCCGGAGGAGGTGGTCGCCCAGCTCTGGCGGTTGCTGAAGCCCGGCGGCGAGTTGGTCGTCTGGGAGCACGGGGCGAGTGAGGACTGGGTTACCTGGGCCGTGCAGAGTATGTTTCCCCTGTGTGATTATGTATAGAGTATCGTGGGAGGGAGGGAAGAGCTGACATGGAGAGCATAGAGGTCTGGAATCTGGTGTGGCCCGTGGCGTTGGATGGGTGTCGGTTGGATCGCCCGATAGCCGATATCCTCTTCAAGTCGGCGGATTGGGAGGTTGTGGAGCTGCGGTCCGAGGGGGAGAAGTGGAGTATGATGCCTCGGGTCTCGGGGATATTGAGGAAGGTGCAGCGTGGATGAAATTGCTCTTGATGGTTGAGGGGATCGCTGTCAGCGGTTCTAGGCATGGGAGCTTCTTTTGTCTCTCTGTAGTCGTGACTACTGCCCCGGAGACGGCGAGGAGGAGATCTGGCAAAGACAACCGACGAAGTACTTCAAGCTCAGAAAGTACTATCGGCATTATTGTCGAGCCAATAGGCTATGCAAGGGTGAAGTGGTTCTAGATTCCAGAGTAATTCGTTAGAGTAGCTCGTTAGTTGTTGATATTGAAACCGAATTGTTATGAACATGCAGTGAACTCATGTGTAGGTCTCACACGCCAAGATTGCTGTCATCCCGTCTCTAGATATGAAGCTCCTTATATACTCAGTCCTGCATAGTAATTAACAGACTAGGAGCCATTACAGTTGTCTAATGTATGGTGCTTAGCTCAAAGCTTGGAAGTGTATGCTGACAGACCATGACTGAGCTGCAGAGGGCCGAATTGGATGTATCGATAGATAATAATCCCGCACTATAAGAGGTAATGTAGTTATAGTACGGAGTGATGAAATACTCTCCGGAGAAACTCCCCTTGTTTTGGTCGATAAAAGCTGTTCATCGAAATGCACCTTTGAGCTGGCCGATGTATACATCCCCATGGATGCATAGAAGTGGTTTTATGCAGGCTGACTAATCCACCAAGCGAGTTCTGGTCAACTCCCATCCATCCTCCATCCCGGCCGACACATGGCATGAATACAGCATCCATCCGAGTCTCCTCTTGCTGCTCGTTCGATCACCCCCCCAGGCAATTGAGCCGATGATGACTGTTGCTGGGACTGTCACATGGAAGAGTTGACTACATCTAGCTTTGTTTACCCCATGCTCTACCGAATCCCCAGGAAGCCCGTGCCGTGAACCTGTGTTCCTTCTGCTTTGTTTGATACGGTGATACCCAAGCTCCTTTTGAGTTTCGTTCCTCCATCCCAGTCCGTTTTTCTTTCTTCTGATACCCCTTCAATTCTTGAGCTCTCTATTCTCTTATTGAGCACCCGCCCCGTGGAAGAGAGAGTGAGTCAAAGCGACACCCACTATGGCGGATGCGGAACCATCGTACATAGATTATGAGGCCTTTCTAGACCCGGACTTTTCACCCGCCTCGTTCGCCAACTCCCTTGTTGTAGCCACCAACAATGCGACAGACACACCGCTGGATCTGTCTACCCCGCTTTCGCGGGTCCTCTTCGATCTCCAAGAGATCGACACCCACATCCATGCGCTGACCACCAAATCAGCCCTCCCCTTGCTGACGCACACGCGCGACCAGACCGATGCAGCCAGTCACATCCTCAAGGAGGCCGAGGACCAGATCGCCTCTGTGACGCAGGGGTATGAGCGCCTCGAAAAGGAGGTCTTCAGCAAGTGGGAGGCCGCAGACGAGGCTCGGTTGGCGGCCGAGAAATCCCTGGCCACTGTGCGACTCGCACGAGCCGTGGCGCGCTGCCTGTCTCTCGGCAGACAGCTGGAAAGCCAGCTGGCAGAGATCGGTGGCATCGAAGGGACGACGTCACCCGTCACCGGTCGGGATGATTACCGCACGCTGGAGCGCGCCGCCTCCGCCATTGTCAGTTTACGGCGTATGCTCTCCGAGACCGGCCAGGGCGAGGAAGGCTACGGGCTTGACCGAGTCAAGGTCGTCCGGACACTGCGAGCGGAGCTCGTCCTGCCGGCCGAGAACATGGTCAAGGCACGGGCACAGCAGGCCATTACGCGATTCTCCATGTCGAACATCTCCGGCGGCGCGAGCTCCCAGACACAGTCGGGCTACAGGCAAGCGCGCGATGCCAGGGCCCGTCTGGTGTCCGCCGTCAACATCCTGTATCTACTGTCGCCGGTGCCCAAGACGTTGAACTCCGCGGCGGACTTCGTCCCCGAGCTTCTCCTTTCTACGCTGCAGGGGTACATGCACACGGCCATCTCCACCTCCCTGAGCAACCTCACGCGGTCACTGTCGATGCTACCGACCCTCGAGCGGACGCTTGCCGACCTGTCCGCGCGATGCCAGGATATCTTCGCTCTGGAGGCCGTGCTCAACCATCTTCGCCCACCGCCACATCCACTCTTCCCTTCTGCCCAGCCGGTGGCTACCCCCACCAACCGCGACGGAGTTCAGAGTGAATCACAGCCCCAGTCCGGCAGCAGCAGAAACAACCTGCTCCAGCCGCTGCTCACTTCTCTCGACACATCCTCCCTCCCCTCATATTTCTGGCGATCCCTGGCGTCGTACCTCACGGCTCGGGTACAGGAGATCGTCAACCGTGGGGGCGTGTCGGCGCGGACCTTGCGCTCCAATCGCGATCGCATCAAGAAGGAAGTCAAGGAATGTGTTCTGCGGGGCTCCCAGCTGCCCACTTCTGTGTTGGGGACCGAAAAGCGACTGGGTGGCGAGCCGGCGACGGGGAGGAATTGGGAACGGGAGGCAGCGGTCATGGTCAGTTCGATTGCCAGTGTGTTGGATAAATGAAGCAAGACAGACGGTGTAGGACGAAGGCCTTTTTTTCTCTGTTGTCCATACAATATAATAGAAACCGGTGGACAATAGCCTCTTAAGGAAATTGGTAACCCCCGGGAAAAAACGATATGTACATCTGAAACTACCGTATTGTACAACCATTGCATCCCAGGAATGAAGCATGCCCGCTGTACCGATTTTATGGTGTACACACCACCACATCAAGCAAGAAAACGAAGAGCAAGCAAACGCACAAAGCATGTGAAAATACGCAGGGATCATGTCCAGCTCAGGTACAGCGCATCGAACATCAGCTGACGGCTTCTTCATTTGAAGTATGCGTGTCCTCTCTCTCTCTCTCGGGTCCAGGTAATCTTTTGGACAAACTCCAGTTTGAAATGAAATTTCCAGAAGGAGTTCTGTCGCGGCTAGCATCGGAAGGCGTAAGCGTAAGTGTAAGTAGAAGCATAAGCCTTAAAATTCTCTGCTTCGTTCTTGGTGCATGAATGTATGAGTATCTGTAGTGGTTACCGTACCTACGATTTGCCACATATCGTCCAGAAGCGGCGTCATGCAGGGTGTTTACTCAGCCTCAGCCCCATACTCATCCAACTTACCATACCATGTATGTACATGAATAGTTCCATGCATGACTCATGGTAGGGCAACAGGCAACAGGTTGAAAAGGAAAAGGGCTTGAGGATGGCGTGTGCGTGTCAAGCTGACAGACAGGCGAATCGGTTCGTCAGCTATATCGAGCTTTTCCCTCCCCTCCCTTCTCATTATACAATCTCATGCAAGCTAACTGAGAATCCCGATCAAGCAAGGATTTGTTTCTCAATATCAGGATCTGTGGATGGTTCTCCTAGTTTTGTCTGGAAAATCCCTGTAGCGAGTTCCAAGTTCATAGGAGTACATACTATGTAGAATCGATCCCAAGAAAGCAGGCGCAAAGTACCAGCCAAACGGGCGGCGCAGCAATTGCAAGACGTCAGCGTAACGATGACCTTATTAGAAAAAAAAAAAAAAAAAAAAGCGGGACCCGGCCCCATTGTTTGTTGATCATGATCTGATTACAAGAGATCTCTGCTTTGAACTACTGTGTTTGTTAGGGACTACGTAAGTGTCAGTCTAAGCGTGGACGCTATCTGATATATTCACTGTGCCTGTTTGTGGATCTTGGTTGGTTTTTGACGGTTATCGTTACATTCGGAGAACTGTGTGAATGGGTACAGTGCAGTAGATTAGATAGACGAGAAGTGATTTACACTGGGAAGATGTATACACAGTGCAGAATCTCCGAGGGAGAGAAGGTGGGAGCCTGACTAATATCACCAGGTACATAAATACAAGCATTGCAAGCGCAACGCAGGTACCTGCTTTGTACTGTGGCCGAGCTTTTTGTTTGAGGGGGGGGAAAGGGGGAAGGGGAACCCGGGGAGCTTATGTCACATAGGGAGGGAGGGGGACTAGATAGTGAGGGGGAGGGGAGGAGGGGGCCCCTTATCTACTACGGAGTCTACAGTAGGTTATCGTGTCACCTAACGTTACTGAGTAGGCTTACTGTAGAACTACTGGCCGGTACCGTAGAGCTGAACAATTGGGAAACGCAAGAGGATGCCTGCCAGTGCACGCGCCCCAAGCCTTAGACTCAAACAAAAAAACCAGGAGGGGATAAAGAACAGAAGTATAGATCAACTGGTAGTCGAGTAGTGGTTAATTCACAAACCCCGCTTTCTCAGTTTACTCCTGTCTCCCCTCTTTCTTTTCCCCCGTCCATGCGATAAGAACTTCTGCCTTGTCCCTTGAAGGGGGCGAAGGAAAACGAGAATCGCCGTTCTCGGCCGATGGGTGGCAGAAAGAGGATAGGTACGAGCAAGAAGGTGAGGCAGAGAGATACAGGTTGATGCATTGGCAATCCCTGCTCAATCTGAAACAACTTGATTATGCCATCAAGTCAGGAGGACGCGCAGGAAGGGAAGGAAGGATGAGGGGGTGGTACGGAGTACCTACCGTACCCTGAGTTTCCTTCGCCCCGGTAATGAGTACCGAGCAACATGGTGGAAATAATCCATCTCATCACAATAGTTCATTCTTCTCTTCTTTTAAGTTACTAGCTAGTTGCTTTGTAACCCGACGGAGCGGGCACCCCCTCAGCTGGCTGATTGTCCCTCCCCCTCTTCCTTGGTAGAACCACCCACCCCCAACCACAATCGAAATCCAGGATCCTCTTGGCAAAAGGGGCAAAAGGTTCTTGGGGAAAACCTGATTGAACTTCTGCCCCTCAGTGGCGGAGGGGCACCCGCGTGTGTGCGTGTCTGGCAGTGTGTGTGTGTGTGTGTGTGCGGGGGTGGGTGGATGTGGTGTGTGGAGGAGGTGATGTGTGCGTCGCGTCTACTTCCACCCCTAAGTTGCTTGGTGGGAGGGGCAACAGGAGTTTGGTTCGGTCGTCAAATCTGCAGGTGGGAAGTTTAGTTCTGCACTGCACATGTTTGTCTGTTCTGTTTTTGGCGGCATGTGTGATCAGCTACCACTGAGGTACGGAGTATAGCCTTACTATCGGTAGGCTGGCACTGTGCAATTGTTCTCAGATAAGGTAAATGAGAATATTCTATTTTTCCTTATAACTATATTGTGGTGATTCTCCCCTCCCGCCGTGATTGATCTAGTAGATGACGAGCTTGCGCTTATTGGTCGGTGGGAGTGCCACGTCGATCACCCAAACACGGGGGATTCCTGCTCCTGCAGTGCACTTAGTCCTGGAGCTAGTCGGGGCTAATCAATCTGTTCATTTTACGTGTGTGTGTGTGTGTGTGTGTGTGTGTGTGTGTGTGTGAACTGTCCAGTGTGGTGGTTGTACTCCGTAGTTGGAGTGGTGTTCTCCGGCACTGCCAAGCTCGTATAGCATTCGAGGGTGATGACAGAACTGGGCGAGCTTCCATGCGGATAAACTTGAGATAAAATGGTTTAAGCTGTATGGACAATGCGATACCGGCCCAAATCGGATGCCTTTCTATGAAACGTTGTCCTCTGTATATACTCTGTTCAAGTCTATACCGAGGTCTGCTATAGATGCTGCTTTCGATAGATAGTAGCCTGCTATCTGTGCAGTGGTTATCATGGCATGGAACCGTCCGTTAAAGAGAATCATTGCATCAGCATAGATATGGGGGAAGCTTGACTAGGTTGAATGGATCAAGGGTCTGGCAATTGAGGGGTCATGAGGGGTCGATCCTAGAGGTGAGGCATAGATATCTACTACTCATACTCGTACTCCGCCGTAGCACCGTGAGTAGTTTGCGACTTGATAAGATTTTATTACCAACAAATCGCTAGTCTTATTGGAAACCGGACGGGGGCTAACGTGTTAGTCACATTCGTCTTGTGAACACGCACAAGGTCTCCTGGATCAAGCAATTGGATATGGAGAAAGTACTAGTGACTGGCGGGGTAGGGCCTGGGGTCGACCGAACCACTCATTGCCGCCACTCCCTGGAGGTACGGTACTCTACATACGTCAGTAGTTCATAGCTATCTGGTGGGGGGTGAATCTGAGCTAAAAACCTATCGAGGAGACCTTGCTTCATCATCCTGACATACATGCAGACCTACCGAGAAAATATACTGGGCTTTAGCAGCTCAGAACCCGACATGGTTTACTCTGATCCGGCTCATTCCCCTGCTGATAACAGCGGGCAGGTCGTAGGGTCTAGACGTACGAAGTACAGAGTGGGACTAACCAGGAAAGCGAACGGACATTCTACCTGAGAACCCCTCAACGCCCACGATCTGAGTCAAAACGTCAAAGCGGAAAGACTAATGCATCATTTGCATTGCCTCCATCCCTCCCAGGCGAGCGTGACAGCCAGCACGATTCGCGACACGCCAGAAGGGCAAAGCGGGATCCTGCGGCGTAGCGCCGTATGTTATCTGACCGGGGGCGGGGATGCACTTTGTACCGTACTATACTTGACTCTCCTCAATCCGGACTACACCCCCTCACGGAGTACAGTACTTCATCCCATAAACCCGCGCTCATTGGGACTAGAGAAGCACATCATAACCCAGCAAGTGGCGCAAGATAGACTTGTGTGTTTGAGATACAGTTCTCGCGAGATGTCATAGACAGGAAGAAGCTTCCAGTGCTTCCCGTGCCGTTTGCAGTCGGGGGCGATCCCGGCGGAGGTGGCAAGCAAGTAAATATTGAGTGGTCAGTAAGTGGGGAGCAATTGTCTTCTGGGTTCTTTTTTGAGTTTGCTCCAGGTCTTTCAATGAGTTTAATATCCTCAGTCCAGTCTCTCCTTACCAGCAAATCTTGGTCAGGCGTGAAGGTATGAAGTTTGAAGGAGGTCCCCGGATATGGCAATGATGCCTAGATCATTGGTGGAAGGGAGGGGCTTGACAGCTCCTGTCGCTGGTGGCCAGGAACAAGCTTTTCCGACGACCTGATCGATCATGAATCTTAAATTGAGGATAGATGATGACGATGATAGTGACGACGACATCGACGACGACATCGACGAAGCTGCTGCTGCTGCTGCTGCTGCCGCCGCCGCCGTGTTGTTGCTGGGCGGGCTAGAAATCTGGGGAGTGCACATGGGAAGGTAACATTGTGGAGAGTGAAGAAAGTACCTAGTAAGTTAGTCATGACTTTATTCTGGAAGTCACAGCAAGGTACCGTTTGTCTTGGTGGTCGGCGCTGTTCTAGCCCGCCAGAGATTTTTCAAAGTACTAAGTAGCATGCATTACCATAGTAATGTAGCATTTTGAGAGAGATGGAAATGTCATGAATTGCAAACCTGCTACAGAGTACCTGCGAGAAGTTTCCCTTCCATGTCAGGTACTGAAGGTGCTGCAGAGTTCGGCTCCCGGAAAATTGCACCTGACTGCAGGAATGGAAGGTCCGGAACTGAAGTTGAAGGTTCCTGTGTGACTGTGTGACCTTCTGTTCGTATTCCATGCTGAAGCCCCTCTCCCTCGCTGCTCCTCTCCGGGCTGGTTGATATTGGCTCCTTGCCAGGCCTGTGGGTTGGATTACTCAATTACAATCACTGTCATCTATGTTGCAGCCTACAATACAATAACCTCTATTTTCTTGCTTAAATTCAGTTAGGACATGAGTACACACATACGATACCTTTTGCTGCTAGTGTCACCACTACGTACATAACACTCAGAGTATATCGCCCTGATGCCGAGAGTGGAACCGCAAGGAGTCAGGAAGGAATGGTTCGGTCCCCGAAAGCAGCAGCTCCCCACCTCCCCGAGCTCTCCGAACTGCTCATGTGTCACGGGTTGCCAGCTTTCTCTCCCCTCCTCCTTGATCTCTGAAATAATAGCATCCAGGCATCCAGGCATACACTCCCAGTGATCAGGTTCGGATCTCTGTAGCGAAGCGACAAGGTTCTGCAGAAACCCAAAATCAATGGGAAGGAGGGAACCGACTACTTGTTCTACCACCTTTTTTGTCTTGATGGCCAAAGTTACGTGAGGTACGGGGGACAAAGGGGCCACCCCCGGCTCGTTCCAAGTGGTTAACGTCACTGAAGGTTGTGGTCCATGGGTCTCTGCCAGCACTTGTCCGGTCAGCCCTGGAATCCGAGCGATCCAAGCTAGCTGGTTCCAATCCATGAAATCATGCCAACCATAATTCTCTACGAGTCAATCCCTGAGGGACAGGAAATAGCAGCCGATCGGATGCGTCTGCGCTGCCTTGCCCCACCTCGCCGCCTGAACGTACCTGGTGCCTCAACAAGACGGAGAGCGCCCGTATATGATGGGCTTGGTTGGTCAGTCGAGGACCCTTTCATGGAGAGGGGGACCACGGTTGCCGAGACCAAGAACTTGAGTCGAGACTGATCTCTTTTTCCTTTGGTTCTCCTCGTTCTCCAGTGTCAGTCAGTCAGTCAGTCAGTCTCTCTCTTTCTAGGGTCTAGTCTCGTTGATCAAGATGAGAAACCCCGAAAGAAAAAAAAATAATGTGTCAAACCCATCCCATTCACCCGAAGACTACCCGGTCAGTTCCTAATCTTCTCCATCACTGACTCTTATCCAGTTCTATTGAGTGGTTCAAAGTGAGGGAGTGGGGGTGGGCAAGGATTGCCATGGCGATTAGTAGTGCTAAGCGCTGGGTTCCTGAGACGGGTTTCATACCGGCGCGTATTGTATGTATTACCTCCTCCCCATCTGCTCAACTGGCTACAATGTATGCCCGATATCAATCAGTTACAAGGATAGACTTCCCTTCGTGCTGGACCCCAACATAGTACACATACTCTCTTGTCTGTGTCTCTTTCTAGAATCAAAACAATCGGATTGAAGGAGAGGGGAGAAGGGATGGAGGGAAATGCTTTCCCGCCAGCCTGATGATGGACTGATGGACTGATGATGAATGAATGAATGAAATGAAAATCCCAGAAGTACCCTCGCACTACCTAATGTTCTGAACCATCCAAGGCTCGATGAGGCCAAGAAGAGACCAAGAGTGGCCCATGAATTCATCCTAGCTGGAAAGAACTCCACCGGGTATGCAGTCGATGATTCGTGTCGGTCGGTCCGGACCAAGTCGTCAGTACCTGGGGCTAGAGAGGGTTTCACCTATCAAAACGTCAGTTCACTATCCAGTAGCGCATTCCCTCTCGCCCCTCAAGGGTGAAAGTGATTCGCCTGAACCTAATGTAGACGAAATCATCATGATCTGGGTTTGGTGATCTTCGTCGCGTTTTCCAATTCATTCCATACCTACACATAGAACGTGGCAGCCGATGAAGTGTTGAGGAATGGGCGCCATCCCAGCCGACCGGAACAAATTGCTGCTGAATATCGAACCTACAATAAATGCAGTACAATTCATCAGTCTGTATACACTTCTTACCCTGGTAACTAGTAGTTATACCTGATAGGTAAGCTGGATACTGCGACGACCCTTTCTTCTCTCCTCCACAAAGTATACTTCCCTTCCCATCCTTCTCCGTCCATGGTTCCCTTTCCCCTCTCCTGCCCCTCGTTTCGCCGCAGTCGACCGTTGTTTCCGATAAGCCTCCCAGTCTCCCAGTTGCTATCCTCCTGTAGGGTGCCTTCTGGCCCTGAGGTGGTCCTGAAGTGGTCCTGAGGTGATCCAGGTGAGGTGGTCCTGACGCCCGGTACTATCGTCGTCACCATTCAACCTGTTCGGCCTGGCCTGAGTGGGTTGCCGTCATCCTCACTCGGGTTACAGGCAGGCTACTCCACGCCGTACTCAGTACTTGTATGCATCTCCTCGCCCGTCCGTTCCTCTGCCGTCCGTCCCTGCTGGCTTGTCTTGTTTCTCAACTGGGTCTTGAGTTTCGGATTGATCAGCCTCCTCTTACCCTCCTCCCCCCTTCCTATTGCTCATCATCTACCCTCTCTTGCTTTCTTTCTTCACTCATCCTTCACTCATCCTCTTCTTTCTTCCTTCCACTTCCTCCCATCCACCCCTCCTGTGAATAATCGTATTTATCCTGCTTCTTCTATCCGATCCTACCATCCATCCTTCTTCCCTTCAACTGTTTGACCTGCATCACTCGTCTTCTTTCCAACCTTCCTTTGGGATCTTCCCCGCATACCTTTCCCGAGAGCTAGCGAACCACCGAGTCCCGTGGTCCTGGTGCCTGTATATCCTCGCCTAGTAGACCTCAAATCGGTTGTGGGTCTGGGTTCTCTTGCCAATATAATCGGGTGTCCCTTTTTAACTAAACAGAAGAGGGAAGAAAGAAAGGAGGAAGGAAGAAAGAACAAAAAAAAGACCCAAAAGGATCTCCCTTGTTTTTCCCCAACCAAATCCTCTCAAACGGGTCACATTGAAGCGATCATCTTATATTCGAGCTGGCCTGGCATCCGATTTGACCTGTCTCTTGACCTATATATCTTATTTTGGCTGATTTGCCCTCCCCGGACGATCCGTAAACCAGGGGCTTTCCGATCGGTTTACGATTCCTCCTATTTTTATTCCACTCTAGTCCAGGTCTTGGCTGGGTTGGTGTCCAGACTGTCCTAACTGTCATACCTACCTACTCATACCTTTACCCTTGTCCAGTACCCATTAACTTACTCTTACCTACCTATTACCCACCCACCAAACACACCACCACCACTGCACCACTGCACCACTGCACCACCACTACCACTACCACTACCACTACCACCGCACTCCCCAAACAACAATCTTCCTGGACTCGACACCGAACGGGAAACTCTCGCTCGAGTCCGCCGCCGCCGCCAACTTGAACCTTACTCCATTTACCTCTTACCACTGATCACTGACACTGATAACTCACCACCACAAACCACTCTGAGTTCTCAGCCTCCCTCTCTCTCTCACTCTCCCTCTTTATTTCTCCAACTCTTCTCATCCCATCGCTATCTTTCCACTTTCCACTTCCTCCTCTTCCTCTTCCTCTGTCCTTCTCTTTCTTCCTCCCCGTCTTTCGGCCTACCTACCCATCTACCCGTGACTGAGTGCCCGCTGCCCTTTCTTGGTCAGGCCGATCTGTAAGCGATGCGTTCTCGCACCTAATGGTCGTTCCTTTCCATCTATCGTGTACCACCTGGCTACCCTTGCTTCGCCATCGCCGTCGGGCATTCGGTTAAACAAGTCATCGCCATCATCCTTCTCTGAACATTCCTTACTCTCTCACCCCTCGCTCGGTCTTTGGGAGGCAAGTGAATTCTTCTTCATTCCGGTGTAAGTTGTTTTGCTATTTTTTTTCTCTTCTATTTTTCGCCCTTCAGACTAGCTCGGTTTCTCACCGACCGAACCCCTCGGTCCCTCTTTCCCCCCCATGATGTTTCAGTTACCGCATCTTGAGAGGCGAAAATTCCTGGAACCTCGAAAATAAATTACACCTGATAGTAATGTGGATTACCTGCTTACCTTAACTGCGCAATGATGTCTAGGACCACTTTGCACCGTGCGATCGACACCGCGTTTTTGACATTTTGAAACCCACCCCATTCCTCTCCCTTGAAACCGATCGAGTTTGTGTGTCGACCGTCATCCCACCATTTCTGTTATCGACAACAGTACATAGCTGTGGGCCCAATCCACAGTCGTCTTCCTGCCAATATGTCTTCATTCTTACCTGTCAATACTATGTCCACCCCACAAGATCGAGTCATGGAGGACGCGACGACATCATCCACCCCTCGCCCTCATCCCAGCTCCGACGCTGCATCATCTTTAGGCACCAAGACGGACGAGAGCACTCCGCGGAATGTAAATATCAACGATGACTCAACCCGCCCGATAGACTCGCAAACCAGCGCATCGTTAACGTCAGATGAGCCCGCACATGGAGATTCGGACGTGGAACGCGAAGGCTCTGACAACGAGGACAACAAGGACAATGCTCCCCCATCGAAGAAGAAAAAGGGACAACGCTTCTACTGCACTGATTTCCCACCATGCAACTTGAGTTTTACACGGAGCGAGCATCTGGCACGGCACATCCGGAAACATACTGGCGAGCGCCCGTTTCAATGTCACTGCTCCCGCCGCTTTTCTCGACTGGACAACCTGCGCCAGCATGCCCAAACCGTGCACGTCAACGAGGAAATTCCAGGAGACTCACTGGCGGCGACAGGGACCAGATTCCAACGACAAATTCGAACGGATCGCGTGCGTCCCCAGGGTCGCGCGAGAGCGGGCACGGCGGGCAGTCAAGGTACTCACAGTAGGGGCCATAGCAGAAACCTTTCTGCCTCGAGCATCACCTCCACTGCATCGACATTCAGTCAGCCGCAGGAGCTTCGCCGTCGGCCTGCGCCGTTGATGATGGCAAATGATCGAGCGCGACTGATGGATACGCTGGATGCTCCCAGCACTCCTCCGGGGCGGGGCCTGCCAGGACCGCAGGCCGGTGGCTCCCCTTACACACCTTCACACCATGTCTTTGCGGCAGGGCCTCATGGTAGCCCTCATATTGCTTCGCCAATGTCCACAGTGTCTCAGGCCTCGGGATTTTGGGAGGGCAAGACAGCCGCCCGTCGATTGTCCGTGCCATCAGGCGCAAACCCATTCGCATCGCAGCCTGCCAACGTCTATCCTCCAGGTTATGCTCCACCCCCCGCGTATGTTGCGCACGGAGGAGTGTATGCCAGCCCTGTTAGCACCAATTACTCCCTGTCTCGCGATGAGATGAATCACGGAGCTTCGGACGCCGATCTACGCAGAAGGACATGGCACCCTTCGACCTGGTCTGCCGTCCCTCGGCCAGCCACTAGTGGCCTCAGTAACTACCAGACCCCCGAAGTGTTCCATCCATCGGCGAAAACCAATGGGTCGGCGGAACAGCCTCCGCGACTGCCAGGTATCGAGAGTTTCGATAAGGTAGTGGCTCACCGACCACTGACCCCGCCCGTTCGACGACCGAGTCCCATGCAAATGGATAACCCGACCAAGCAACCGCCGAACTACAACTTTGGAGGAGGATTCAATTACACGCAACCGGCTAGCCGACCAGCACCGCCAATTTCGGGCCCCGGTCATCGACGGGGTCACGTCTCTTGGGATATGTCCCTGCACACAAACCTAACCGGACTTCATATTCGGGACAAACCATCTCAGCGAGATGCAGCAAATTGGAGCCAGCAAACTATTGCCGAGCTCCAGAATGTTGGTTCCCGGCCATCCTCGTCTTACCAGCAGCAACTGCAGGAATCTCGCGGACATGGCCATGCTCCGTCATTCAGCAGTGTTACTATGAGCTCTCAGGCCACGCGAACGTCACCCGAAGATTCCAGCAGCAGCGAAGGAGTTCATACCCCGTCTACTGCATCTTTGGAGTATCATCCCGCAATTGTGCATAACAATGGATATGTGGAGCAGCATCACCCGTCTTTTGCCTCCGAAACTTCTCAAACAGTACGCACACGTTACCAGAACCAACGATGAGGGCCAGATCACTGATTGGAATGCAGGCTTGCCCCCCTCTAGCCCCCCAACCTGACAGCCATTACGGCAAACGCGACCTTCGGTCCGATTTCCTTCCTCATTCGGTCCGGGAACCTGGAATGGGTCGACTGGAAGCGCTCGTTGCTGTCGCCACCAGCGAGAACAAAAGCGCCACGAAGCTCTTTATCTAAACGGCCTCTGATTGGGAATGAAGTCTGTGATTTAGGAGTATTTCCCTATTTTCATCCGGTGATCACGTCCTGAGCGATCCCGCATCCGAAACCGACCTTGCTCGGGCTCGCCGCTCTTTCTCTTTACATTTGTTTTGAGCGGGAGTTGTATAGTACGAGGCATTGGCCTCTTGTCATGGGTTTCCTCGACCTTTTCTTTGTTTTGGATATAGCCGCGGAGTTCTAGAACCTGGACCTCTCTCGTATACTCGGAGCTGCACGCACCGCTCGGCTGCGGGAATCTTTATGAAGTGATGAATGATGAAATTATGCATCGGTGGGTTGGAACAACTGGGGCTTTCGCAATCCTATTTTTCTTTTCTTGTTCGGGGTCTTTCTCTCTCTCTTTCCTTTCTATTGCTGCATGTTCTGGCGTTCTCCCTCTTTGTCCTTCCGGAACGGAATACTGTCCATAGTGCATGAAGATACCCCCCCGGCCTTGATCTCGAGCGACTGCAACGAGATCACGGAAGGAGTTTCCTACTCTGGTCGTGGTGTGGCTTCGATTGTTCGTTTGACGCTGTCTATACCGAGGTTTATCTGCTTCTTTCGGTGGTGGTGATGTGAATTGCTGCAGCTGGCCATCGTGTTTTAGTATGTCATTTACATGGCGACTGTGGGGCTTTGACTATTTATGTCTTTGGTTTTTCTTTTTTTTTTTTTCTTTCCGTTTCTGCCTTCCATGGGGTTCAGCAATTAGTTGCGGGTTACAGTAATTGAGCCAATACCAGAACGAAACCAATTTAGATGCAATGATGCCAAGACCTGGACCTGGACCTGGGGGAGGAGGAGGAGGAGGAGGAGGAGGGGATAATCAGCCACAGAATATGATAATTGCTGCAGCTGGCCATCGTGTTTTAGTATGTC